CAATAACGACGGTGACGCCGCTAACCTTTCGGCTGAACAGTGCTCTCGAACATTCCAACCGACCCACATCAATTATACTGGTGACAGCTTCATCTGCTACTGCACAGGACTTTCCGTAGTGAACCTGAGCGCTGACTTGGTGTTCCGGAAACTGAAGCACCTAAAATTAGGCACTTCCCCTGGCCCAAATGTAGTTCATTCTGGCATACTAAGGGAACCAGCCTCAATCCTGGCAACACTGTTTAGCGTGATGTTCTCACACTCACTTAGCCGAGGCAAACTAACGGAAAATTGGAAGCTGACTCACATCACACCAATTTTCAAAGGAGGTCGACACAGCAAACCTTCAAGTTATCGACCGGTGGCTCTTCTCTCTATATCTTCAAAAATCATGGAGTCCATGATATGCGACGGTTCAAACGACTATCTACTGTCCTTAAATTTATTCTCACTCCAGCAGCATGGTTTCAGGAAGGGTTACTCTTGTATTACCAACCTGCTGACTGCAGTGGACAGATGGACAAGCATCCTTGATCGCAAGGAGAAGGTTGATATCATTTACCTTGATTTCTCGAAAGCTTTTGATAGGGTTAACCATATATTTCTTATCAATAAGCTCAAAAGATTGGGTATCAGACCACCTCCAATTGACTGGCTCACTTCATACCTGAAAAATCGACACTTTAAGGTCAGGGTTAACTTCACTTCCTCTCAGGCCATGGAATGTCCTGGTGCAGTCCCCCATGGCTCAGTTCTAGGACCTCTTCTCTTCTTGATTTATATAAATGGTCTTCCTCAACAGGTAACGTCAGACTTATTACTTTTTGCCGATGACGTGAAACGTTGGAGAGGGATACGCAACCAAGACGATATACAGGCACTTCAGGAGGATCTGACTCGACTTCATAGTTGGGCAGACGATAGCGGTCTTACATTTAACACTTTCTAGTGTCAAGTAGTCCATCTGCGACATGTTGCGGACTACAGTTACAACTTAAGAAACTCCTCTCTAGAAGTACCCTGAGTCAAAGAAGATTTAGGAGTGCTGGCGCCCTGAAATTTGAAGACTTGTCCCAACTGTAACAAAAATGCCTTTCGAGCAAACCTTGCACTGGTAATATTGAAGCGCATTTTTGGCCAATTTGACGGGAGAACTTTCCATATAATCTTCAACAGTTTTATCTGTCCCAATTTAGAGTATGGAAACATAGTATTTCCTCCCTCACTCCAAAAGGATAAGGACACTCCAACGGTGAGCCACGAAGTCAGTTCGGGGTCTCAAATTTTAACCTCATGAAGAGCGCCTCCAATCACTTAACCTTTACCCATTAGAGTATAGACGTCTTAGAGGTGACCTTCTAATGGCTTACAGTATCCTAAACACTTCTGGGCATCCTCTTAAACACCTACTTAAGCTTAGTCCCAACACAAACCTAAGGGGTAACACCCAGAAATTGGAGACACAAGAAAGCAGAACGGACTGTAGACACAACTTCTAATCCTTAAGAGTTGTCAAATTCTGGAATTCGCTGCCGTCCGAGCTAGTTCAAGCGACTTCCCAGGAGTCATTTAAGAGGCAACTTGATCTACTCTCAAGGCCTAAGGACAGCATCATACTATGATTTACCAATTTCTTTTTCCTCTTTTATCGTCAACATACCTAGGTTGCTGCCTGGAGTTATTCCTAATCCCCTGTTACTAGACACGGAATCCTGTTAGGCGAAAGCTTCTATTCCATCCACAACCATTTGAACCATTTGAAGTCGAAGATATAGATGGGAGGTATGTAGTATATCGAGAATTGTTTGATCTAAGCTGAACTGTCGTTGAGAAGGATGAATAGCATGATGATATGAGTAGATGAGTAACGAAAAACCTTCAACCAGTGTGTGTCCAGCATAACCAATGGAGCTATAATCAATGGTGAGGTCTTAGAAGACTAGTAAATTCGAAAAAGACATATTATTGAAAAGCGCACTAAAAACTCGTGCCTCAAATATCCGTATTCGACCAGATTGGCCGCTTGAGGATCGAATCAAGTGGAAGAATGCTCTTACGGAGTTGAGGACTCGCAAATTAAATGGCGAAAATAACCTTACCATTAAGGGTTTTCGGGTAGTCAGGTCTTGGAAGCCAATGCTTCCGAGGCCTGTATGGGTAGAACGATTGATTTCCAAAACACCTTAAGTGTGTGCTACACGAACGCTCGTAGTCTTAGAAATAAAACGTCCGAGCTAAGTCTGATGGTGCAAGAATTATGTCCCGATATAATCGTTGTTACAGAAACTTGGTTCACCGTTGATATAGACTGTTCTCCTTTCATTGCTGGTTATATCTGTATCAGAAGTGATAGAGTTTCAAGTCGCAAGGGGGAGGTATAATATTTACGTTAGGGATCACTTTCGTATACAATCAACCATATCGGAGGCTCATATCAGTGGCACATGTGAGGTTGCATGTTGTAAGATTAAATCTAGAAATGGGTTAGTGACTATAGGGGGAATATACCGTAGTCCGTCTTGTCTTGCTGACGACTTTATCCTAAGACACATCTGTTCTTGGAGTATGGCAGAATGTTGTCTCATCATTGGGGACTTCAACGCACCGCATATCAACTGGATAGAGCTTACAGCTCCAGGTAGTGGTTTCGATAGCGACCTTTTATCTACCGTTATTCAGTGTGCACTTGTACAATGTATCACAAAACCGACACATATTGATTTGCATCATGTTCCGTCACTGCTGGACCTCGCCCTCACCCACCACTCTGAGGATGTCTTTGATATCCAGCACCTTCCTCCACTAGTGAACAGTGATCACGTTGTAATTCACTTTAAGTTTAGGACACATGGTATACAATTCGTATCTGCTCCACCCCGTCCCAATATCTGGCGAGCTAATATTCCGGAAATCAGAAACCGTGCTATCTCGACTGATTGGTCGGTCGACGCGGATGGATTGATCGAAGATGAATGGAATAAGTTTAAGGCTACATTCGAGTCCGTAACGTCGCCGTTTATCCCATGGTCAGCACGTAAGCTATCACATTGCCCTCCATGGATTAATAAGGAAACCCGGAAGCTGTTAAAGCGTAGGAAACATTTCTGGGACTTATTCTTGTTGACAGGTCATGCACCATTTAAGCGTGAGTATCAAAAATACCGTAATATCTGTAAGAAAACCATAGCGAAATCCCGTACCACTTACGAACGACAGTTAGTATATGATAGCCGTACTTGTCCGAAACGATTGTTTTCGTATGTTAAACGGCAAATGAAACGTAGTGATGGTATTCCCCCGTTGCTGTTACACGAAAATTCAGAATTACTAGCTGAATCAGATCGAGCAAAAGCTGAGACTTTTTCAGATTATTTTAGCGAAGTCTTCTCTACGTTTATTGTAACAAATACTTGTCCCACTCACACCGAGATACCAACCATTGAATCTGTACAGGTGACTGAGGAAACTGTCCTTCCGTTGATAACTAACCTCAAACCTGGTAAGATACCGGGCCCTGACGGGTTACATCCACGGTTGCTGTCATCTCTTGCGGACATTATTTCAAAACCGCTTGCGACACTCTTCAACATGTCCCTCTCACTCGCTCAACTCCCTAGAGATTGGAAGGACGCTATAGTTAGTCCTATATTTAAGGACGGTCAGCGACAGATAGTATCTAACTACCGGCCTGTCAGTCTAACTAGCATAGTCGTTAAGTTACTCGAAAAGATAATTCGGGTTAGGTTGCTAAGCCACATAGATTTACACAATCTGTTAGCTCCTGAGCAACACGGATTTCGTAACAAGCGTTCATGCTTGACTAACTTGCTTATTGCGAGGGAGGATTGGACAGCAGCCCTAGATCACGGTCTGTCTGTCGACGTGATATTCATAGATTTTAGCAAAGCGTTTGACAAGGTTTCACACGTAGGTCTTATGCAGAAGCTCACGAGCTTCGGAATAATAGGTACTGTACATGAGTGGATAGGAAATTTCTTATGTGACCGCAGACAGAGAGTTAGGGTCAATGGAACGCTATCCGATTGGAAGCCGGTCAAAAGTGGTGTACCCCAAGGCACCATCTTAGGCCCTCTGCTCTTCCTTCTCTACGTTAATGAGTTACCACTGTTACTTAGGTCGTCGACATTATTGTTTGCAGATGATGTAAAAATCTGGAGAACAATAAAAAGTGCGGCTGATCATGTGGATCTTCAAGCTGATTTAGACGATTTAGTTAGATGGGCTCGAGAGTGGGGCTTAGAAATCAATGCTAGGAAGAGTGTACTAATGCACGTCGGTCACGGTAATAGTTACCGTTACACTATTGAGGGTAAACCTCTTCCATGCGTTCAAGAGCATAAGGACTTAGGAGTAATATTAAGTCATGACTTAAAAACAACTGCGCATTGCAAAGCAGCCGCTGTCAAAGGTTTTCGTGCGTTATGGTCACTTCGCCGAGCGTTCAAATCTTTTGACGAGGAAACGTTTCGAATTTTATATCCCATATATGTTAGACCACATTTAGAGTACTGTATCCAAGCAGCTAGCCCGTGTCTAGTAAAGGATACTAACTCCCTTGAGCGTGTCCAGCGTGTGGGAACGAAATTAGTGAAGGGTCTTTCTAGACTCCCTTACGATGAGCGCTTAAAACGCCTAAATCTTTTCCCCTTGTCGTATCGTAGGACACGAGGTGACCTTATACTGGCATTTCGTATCTTTAATTATGATTTGGGTGTTAATATGTCTTATCTTTTTGCTCCCTCCAGCACTAATAATCTCCGAGGTCATAGCAAGAAGGTTCATAAACCACGATCTAATAAACTTAAAGTGGGATCCCGTTTTTCTCATCGAGTAGTCAATCATTGGAACGCCTTACCCGAACAAGTGGTATCAAATCTTAAAGCATTATTTTTGTAGTAATAATTGTATTTTTGTTAATGTTGCACTACCGTTATGGATTCATTTACTATTTGTGACATGAAAATTATTAAAACGTTCGTAAACACCAGAGGCATGTTTGAAGTCTGTACATCACCCAGTCATGTTCTTAAGTTTTCGTCGACTATATAATCGACTTAAAAACTAAAAATAGATATTTCCTTCGAACAACTGAAATCAGGCATAAAAGTAGACATTCAGATTCTCTTGACGCTGTCTTTCCCGTTTTCCTTTTTCGTTTGCATGGGCCGTATACGGCCCAGTATACTGGTAATTGTTTAACTACAATTAAAATAAAATGTCAGCTCCTAGTAATGTGATGCTTATTATATTTCGGATAAGTTAGTAATTTGTTTTGCACGGCTTTTTATTTGCTGTAAAATTAGAGTTGGGTATATGAAGGTATGATTAGCCAGTGTGTAACTTCAAGAAGCAAGAATACATAAAGATCGATGCTGTGTTATTTCTACAAAGCTTACTAATTTTGACCACTGCCTAGATCGTCCAAAATATAATTCTAACTGAAAAGCTTTTTTAAAGATTTGGACAGATGTTTACTTTATTTATTCACATGAACTAAATATTTCCTCGGATACGTTCAACTTTCTGTCTGGTATAATTAACGTAATAAAATGGCAAGTTAGTAATGAAAACTAGTTGCAACAACTAATGATAACACCCAGATCTTATGCTTGCTACCAGCAGCATTTTGGAAACGGTCTGTGAGTAGAACTGCTGACCAAGCCTATTAATCCGTCTGAAAATGTCTTTTTTAAAAGGAGAATAGTCAACATAAAAATCCATACTCGCTCATCAAAATTGATTCTGCTAACCAGTTTTTTTACGACGCTCAGACAGACGTCTAAAATACAGTAGTCATTTTTAAACCATTGGTGAGATCGTTCATGTCTCATTTTCATCTGTTCCAGATCAAACCATATCATATTAGAACAATAAACAAGCTTTTACAACAAATCAGTGTATTGTAATAATGGTCCGAGTGTACAAGTCTTTCGTATTTTAGATAATTTGTGTCTCCGTAAAGTCCTGTTTCCGGTTTAGATAATTAACACAAAGGTCTAGTTACGTCTTACTCTGATGAAAATCATTATGTAATGACTTCATGAATCTATTGTACCAGTATGGCTAAAATAGTTTAATTTGTATAATCGAACTCTATCGTTTGAGATTCTCATTCCTTACGGCTCTGTCATGAACAGGATCCCTGGAAAGAACAAGACCGGGAAAGACAAAAAGTAATCCAAATAATCATGTTCGTAAAGGTATTTGTTGTTTCTTACTTATAATTGGTTTTTAGTATGCCTTGTAAGGTTAGCCAGTATTAAACAATCATTTACCAAAGAAGTATTTGTGATTAATGTGAACTAGATCTTTGATCTACTTGGTAACGATCTGGGTTCGATAGTTCTTATCGGTTTACTTTGTTGGTTTCCTTCACATTTCAGGACATTAATGTACTTGTTTTCTTTCCGCTTTAACTGTGTCTATTGACCTATAAGTAGCATTCATCTCTGTCGGTCAAAAGGTCGTGTATTATTATTAATCACTGGTGTTCGTCACGCAAAATGGCTATGTTAAATTGTTCCCATCAGGGACGTCTACCACTCGCATCCTTCAAATTTTACATGGATATACTGCTGGGGGAAAATGTATCATCATCTGTTTTCGTAGATCCACATTTCTATGGATGAAGATGCTGAGTGTTTATTTCTTTTTGTTCCTGTATCACAGTGAAAAAGTCCTTAAATTGCTTATATCCTTCAGACAGTAGTTCATGGAACCAGAAGTAACTTAAAGGTCACAATTATATTTTATAATCTGATTTCAGTCCCTACCACACCTACTTTAGCTTTTGCAGCTGGTATGTATCATCATAATAAAGAACTCAAAGCAGAGTAAATAAATCTATGTTTCGTTACTAATCCAGACTAACCTATCAACAAAGGTAGTAGGCTACTCTCCTTATCGTCAGTTTCATTGCCACTGGTCAATTTGCGGCCGTTAGTATTAAGTCGCGCACATGAAAATGCTTGGGTTTTTACAGCCTTTGCCACCTGTGGCACTAGAACTATGCTCAACCACACATCAGAGAGTGGGCACGCTCCATTATTGTCTGCTCGGTATTCACGTGTCAAAAAGTTTAGATACAAGAGTTATTCATCATTCGATGAAACTGTTGATACAGATTTATTCACTTTTTGTCTTCTCTTCCATCATGAGCTTCCGAATTATCATATCTGCTATTCTTTGATTTAACTATTTCTCCAATCTCTTTGACTTATCTTTTTTAATATCGCTAATACTACCGTTACCTCTAGTACTTTGTTATTCCGGTGACTGGTGATTTGGTGTGGCGAATATGATCAATAAACATTTGTTACAGGATTCTGAGTTATTCCTAACTAACTGAATGACTCTATCTTAAATTCGCTGAATACGTACATGCTTTCCAAACCTTGTTTCGGTTCACATGTGCTACAACAAAAACACTCATAAGTATGTCATCTTCTGTATAACGTTATTTCAACAGAAAACGACGATGATACGATTTGGGATGCTATTATTCCTCTTTCAGTCATTAATTGTGATTAAGTTGTGTCTTATAGTTCGGGTTCTTTAAAAAAATGTATTTTTATAGCTTCCATTAGAGGTAATCCAAAGGAAGATCATTTAAGCGGTCAGCGATAACTAGTTGTTGAATACGTATCCATCGTGCGAAATAATAACATTCTGATTCTCAAAAACCACGGATTGCAATGATTCGTGAGAATGAAAATTATTGTAGAAATATGTATTAGGTTGATGTAAATGGTTTCATGTTTGTAAATAAATCCAGGTCTTTTCTGTAAAAAAGACCTGTCAACTACGTTTTTGCAACTAACGTAGATGTGCGTCATCAAAATATATTAACATCTAATTTATCAAAAAACTTCTGCCCAGTGATGTTAGTTGTAATGAGGGTTTATCGGTTAACAACCTTTGATCATATTTTTAAACTCCTTAATCAAATTTATCGGTGTACTGAAGATTGCTTGATTTCCTATTTTTTTTGTTACGTGATTCATTCTGTTTTTAAATGCGGAACCAATAAATTGCTTTACGTTGTCAGATTATCGAGGTTTCAAAGTACTATAGGAATAATGTCCACACATTTGTTTTTTTATTTGTGAGTACTTTCGACTGTTGCCCGCTATGAAGTCACAACATTTTTCGAGTCTGTACTTTGTATAATCAAATGGAAATCTCAGTAACTATTTTGTGTGCTAATCGAGATTGTTTCTAACACATGTACGTACTAGTTTTGGATCGATCAATTCCTTATTCATCTTTCCAATTTTATTTTAGATGTGCTATCATAATTTTCTTATACATTACTTGTGGTGTGCAACTAGTTATCGTTTCTTTACTTAAGTTGAGTGCATGATAGTACCATAATCGCCAAAAAACTTGGTATATCATATCAAAATGATGACTATCCGTCTGAGTACCCATGGCTGGTGTGTGCTGATTATAAGCATTTTGGTTATCTTTCTGTACTATCTGTCGTCATTTAATCCTATCGGACATCTTAAAGGGGAAGTTACCAGTGTTCGAAGATTGTTAACTCACTGCATACATCTTTCCGAAGAAGCTGGTGGTCTTATAAAATTTATTAGTTTGAAGCATAGCCTTAATTCACGTACCAAACACGGGGGTATGCTGAGGCGAGAGCCTCTGACAGATGCGGACCTGGGATCTCATCAAATAATCGTGTCGGGTTTGACCTCGGCTTTTCCAGAGCTACTAGTACGTTCTAAAGTTTGCCTATTTGTATTTATTTATTTTATCGTTGCTTCAATTCTCTGTAAGCATTAAAAATCCTTTTGGGACTTATATCAATTCTCTTCTCATTTAGGCTGCTATGTCTACCAAAATTGTAGATGGTATTTTTCTACCACTTCCCTGTGAAATGCTTTTAGCAATTGGATGAAGTAGTAAATAATATTCAGATTTGTTACCTACGGCATAACTGAACTGATCAACTTGCTAAGGTTTTCCACGTGAATGTTATTTATAGTAAATACGATATATGTTATGGTTTCTATCTGAATAAGTGTGGATAACTGCCAAAGTTGCAAACATTTTTAATATAACAACAAGCATTGGTCGTATTGCCATGACGTTCGTCAATTAAGTGTGAGTAGTGATATCACTATTACTTATATTTAAAATGAGAATTCACATATCCTAATTAACGAAACTCAGTACTAGATCTTAATTTGGTTTTCACCTTTCGCCTATAACCTCAAAAGATTTAAACACATAAGACAAAGTGTTTGGAATGGAAATGAGTCATGCTGATCTTAACTTCTTGGGTTTGTGTGAGTTCATTGACTCAGGCTGTACATTACTACTTAGTTTTTTTGTAGATTCAGATCTAACTTTTTATGTACATAATTTAGAACACTTACTGTTATTTATGTTACAAATATATATGCAAGAGTAGTTTTGGTGAGCATTGTGTCCACACCTCATAGCGAACATTTTGTATGACATATTTTGGCCTATGTTTTCCACATAAGTGATGTCTGTCAAATTAAATCATTATTTTCTCTCTTCAACTATTGAAATAATTCTCTAACTTCAATCATTTGTTAAACTGAACGTTACTTCAAGGTATTTGCATTAATAATCTTCATTTATCATATTGTATGTAGTAATATCACGCTATGGTTATTTTGAACCTCGTATTTTCCTGATAAGCTGATGTTATTAGTTTCTAATTGCTCTTTAATTTTAAAAATCCTGGTGAATCAGTGGTTTTGTAATTTTCTTCTCTAGGTTCGCTCCGAAGAGCATGAATTACCAACACACCGTCTGTTTGATTATAAAGAAAGTGTTTATCATTCGGATTTTCAAAGTTCTCTTCCTAATGATGATCTTTTTGTGCCTATTACAGATTTGGTAATATGGGTAGATCCCTTAGACGGAACTCAAGAGTATACAGGTAAGATAGTTTGTTCGTCACTTTTATTATGTAAAGGATTATTGACTTAAAGTTGTGGATAAATGTCTACTCTCCAATGTCATTGCAGAAGGATTTACTTTTCAGAGGATCACAATATCTGAAAATAGACGTTTAAAGTCAAGTTTTTAGAATGATCTCATTACTTTTTTCGTTCGCTTAGTAAATAAGCGTTTATCAATCTTTCAGTCACTTCATATATTCTCGCTTTAGTAAAAGATATTGTGTTTATTGTTTATTGAACTGTCAAACTGTAATTAACCTTAATGCACTTCATTTTTATCTCTTTCTTAAAAAAAATTAATTTGTAGTCTTTGAGGTTTAAAATTGTTATAATTTTAGGAGTATTATTGTTTCTATGCTTGTCTATGACATTTTTAATGTAGTCCTAACATGTATGCTACAATCGTTTATTATGGGTCTTCATTGATCCGCTTCAAACACAATTTATCGATTCTTCCAAACTCCCTTTTTTACATTATTACAAACTATTTCTTCGTGATTCTCACCTGTAGTTACTTCGGGTTAAGGAATCCGGTTGTACTCAGCACTAAAGTATAGATCACAAGAATCTCCTTCATTCGATTAGTTTATTTTAATGATCCCGTCTCCTTTAAAAAAGTTTATGTGAAGTATATAAGGCTGTTAGATAAATAAGACTACAAAATGGATTGTGTCTCAGTCAGTCAGTTAGTCAGTAGTCAATCAGTAACAACGTAGAACTTCGTACGTACGTACATCAGTTCGAGTTGCCACACCACATTAGCACAGAGATGCAGTTGTCGATTCAAATCCCGTAGTGGTAGAGGTAATAAGAGTATAAGCAGTAATCGGGAAGATTAGGGTTTGGAGATGTTATTTAAAGAGTATAATCCAGTGAAATAAATTTGGAAAGAGGAAAAAAGGGACATGAAGAATTCAGAAGATTAGAATTTGGGAGAACACAGAGAGTGGATGCACCTGCGCCATTGCAAACGATTTTGAGCCATGTCATTCAGGGTCTCTAACCATCGGTTGCTATCATCTCGCGGTCCCCAACCAGGTAGTCTACACCTACCAACATGACTCAGTCCACTTGTCAGTGACTTCATGGACTTGTGCCATGTTTTGGTTTGGCCGCCCCTAGCTTTCTTCCAACCTACTCCTATACCACTGAACATAGCACGTCGAGGCAGTCGGTCGTTGGGCATACGTAACACGTGTCCCAGCCATCTCAACTGATGAAGTTTCACTACTTCATCAATTGATTTGCCATCCTTACCTAGTACCCGTTTCCTAACAACTGTGTTACTTACTCGATGGTCCCATGATATACGAGCAATATTTCGAAGACACCTATGATCAAATACTAGTAACCTACGGATATCCTCTACTCTTACCGGCCATGTTTCACTGCCATAAAGTAGGACGGAACGAACTGCTGCGCAGTAAACACGTCCTTTGGTTGATAGACGGATATCTCGCCTACGCCATAAATGACGCAAGTTGGCAAAAGCTAGTCGAGCCTTCTGTATCCGTGCTGAGATTTCGTCACACACTAAACCACAAGGGCTGATGAGACTTCCAAGATAAGTGAAGCGGTCGACACACTCAACTACTTCACTCCCTATCACTAGTTCGGGTGTCGATGTAACCCAATCCTGAAGCAACATTTTGCATTTCGAGGGGGAGAATCGCATCCCGAACATGCTTGCATTGTTGCTTAGAGTGGTCAGAAGACTCTGCATTTTGTCAGCGTCTTCACCAAATAAAACTATGTCATCAGCATATTCTAAGTCAACAAGTGAACCTCCCGGTAGAAGTTCAACCCCTGGAAATTTAGATGAGGAGAGTGTTATCTCTAAAAGTACGTCGACGAAAAGTTGAACAAGAATGGGGAGAGTGGACAGCCCTGACGAACACCACTTGAGGTAATCAATTCTGATGACAGTTCGCCATAAGCTCTCACTCTACCAGTTGTGTTCGAGTAGAGAGCCTTTATAAGGTTAATGTACTTCTTTGGTACTCCTTTCAGTGACAAACACTGCCATAGAACCTCACGATCAACAGAGTCGAATGCCGCCTTAAGGTCGAGAAATACTACCATTGTGGGGCGTCTGAATGTGTGTCTGTGTTCTAGAACCTGACGTAGTGTGAATATCTGATCTATACAACCACGTCCAGGTCGAAAACCGGCCTGGTTTTCTCTAGTCTGCTCTTCACGAGCTTTGTTAGGCGTCGAAGTATTATTGAAGCTAATATTTTAGACACTATATTAGTCAAACTGATTCCTCTGTGATTGTCACAAGAGGACTTTTGTCCTTTCTTATAAACTGGCACAATCAGTGATTGAGACCAGTCAGATGGGATTACGTCCAGTTCCCAAATTCTACCTAAGTTATCAAAAATCTCATTGCTAATACTGGACCACCATCCTTAAAAATCTCAGGAGTAAACCTGTCAGGGCCTGCTGCTCTCCCTCGTTTCAGATTTCCTATGGCTTTTTCAACTTCGTAAAGGGACGGAGGACCTACATTAACTTGCCATTCAGGTTGACTAGAGATCGTGGGAAACCGAAGTGTGGCTGAAGGCCAGTTGAACTGATCCCTAAAGTGTTCTGCCCATCGATCCAATCTCCTGGATTGAGAATGAATAATATGTCCATCTTTCTCTGAGATTGTTTCGCTAACGGTCGGGTTCCTAATTCCGGTTTCCTTAACGAGTCTGAACAATTGTCTGCTATTACCTATTGCCGCTGCCTTTTCCATCTCTCTTGCTTTCGCTACCCACCACTGTTCGCGATCATTGCGTAGACTTCTTGTCAGCTTGCGCTTAAGCTGACTCCGCTCTTCATTATGTTCAGAGCCAGGTGGAATGAGTTTCCGAGCATCTATCAGTGCGATAGATGCTGCTGAGATCCAGTGTTGCTCCCTAACCTTCTGGTTTACCTTACTAGCAGATATCACTGCTGTTTCCACAGCTTTTCGGATATCATTCCATGCTGCATCGGGGTGGGCATCACATACATGGCTGCCTAACTGTTTTCCTAGTTGTTCCTGAAATATACTCTTAGCTTGACTATCATTAAGTAGGCCCTAAGAGGTTTCCTTGCAGCGTCTTTCCTACGTCCAGTAAGACGCAAGCAAATACGCGCTCGCACTAGAGCATGATCTGAATCTAGGCATGTGCTCCAGAATGAGCGACAGTCTTCTATCGAGCCCCTCCATCGGTGGCTGATAGCGATGTGATCTATTTGGGTCCAACGTTGGGACGAATTAGGGGGTCGCCATGTTAAAAGATGTTTTTCCTTATGCTTAAAGTTAGTATTTGCAAGGAACAGGCGGTTATCTGAGCATAGCTGCAACAGACGGTCGCCATTATCTGTTCTTTGAGCCACGACACCATAAGATCCACCTAGGTGTCTTTCCCTATCGCTTAGTTTACCTACTTGAGCATTAAAGTCACCGGCCACTATTACTACATCCGAGCGCTAGCTTTTCGGAGAAGGTCCGAAAGCTTTCTGTAAAACTCATCTTTTACATCATCTGAGCTGCAGTCAGTGGGAGAATAGGCAGAGACGACGAAGAGGCAACGACGAGTGTCCCTATCTTTCCGGATTCTTACTGTTCCGTTCAGTCGGACAGCGCACAAACGACTGTCTACTGGGATCCACTCTAAGAGAGCTAGTTCTGCCCTAGGACTCAATGCTATACCTACGCCGGCGAGGCCACGGGAAGCAGAATCAGGGCTTCCAGATACACGAAGCGTAAATCGAGTCGGTTCTTTATTTTGGCATGGTGAGGTCAAATGAATGACGCTACTTGGATCCTGTATGCGCGTTTCGGAGACGCAGCACACATCGATGGCGCGAGATTCTAAAGTTTTAGCTAAGGAAGCCTGCTGTCCTATTTGGCAAAGTGTTCGTACGTTAAAAGCTCCTACGTGTAGTTTAGAGCGTGGTTTCAGGAGACCAGGAATGGCGTTCCACGTACTCGAATCGTTTGCCCTAGCGGTGCGAGGTGATAAAGAGACGTGAGGAGGGTTAGTCATGGAGATAAGAGAGGTATTAGGAGGTGTAGGAAGGATTTGAATGTGACCACCTTGGTCTCTTGTGCTGTTACGGGTATGAGGGCTGATGTCACTTCCCGGCTGCCCACACCGTGGAAGGGTATTTCTTGAGGAACCTGAAAAGGAAATTGGATTAGTGTTGGTCTTGACGACCTGGGAGCGTGACCGCAGAGCCCAAGGGACAACTGCTTGAGGCCGGTCGCGCACGGCCTTTTTGTGGAAGGTTTTTGACGTGTTAGCTCCGTTCTTCAAAGGGCCTTACCGCCGGAGACGGAAATCCGTGAGGTAAGGTGAGGTGTGACATTTTTAGGGTCGACCTTTTCTAACCCCACCCCTCCTTGTGGGAAGGCAGCATCGCTGTCATGCTGGTTGTCCGAGGGAAACACCTTACTGCTGTCACACCTCTCTACAGTCAGCAGTACGACTTCGCCCTCAGACCTTGAGTTGCTGCTTTTAGTCTTACCGTTCACCAATCGACCTGCCTGGCATGGTAGAACCTGCAGGAACATATGTTCCAGCCAATATAGCTCGGTTGGGTCATCACGATAGGCAAGCCCGACCACCGCGTCAAGGTAGCAGCTTCGATCGGGGTATATTTCAGGAACAATTAGGAAAACAGTTAGGCAGCCATGTATGTAATGCCCACCCCGAGGCAGCATGGAATGATATCCGAAAAGCTGTGGAAACAGCAGTGATATCTGCTAGTAAGGTAAACCAGAAGGTTAGGGAGCAACACTGGATCTCAGCAGCATCTATCGCACTGATAGATGCTCGGAAACTCATTCCACCTGGCTCTGAACATAATGAAGAGCGGAGTCAGCTTAAGCACAAGCTGACAAGAAGTCTACGCAATGACCGTGGACAGTGGTGGGTAGCGAAAGCAAGAGAGATAGAAAAGGCAGCGGCAATAGGTAATAGCAGACAATTGTTCAGACTCGTTAAGGAAACCGGAATTAGGAACCCGACCGTTAGCGAAACACTCTCAGAGAAAGATGGACATATTATTCATTCTCAATCCAGGAGATTGGATCGATGGGCAGAACACTTTAGGGATCAGTTTAAGTGGCCTTCAGCCACACTTCGGTTTCCCACGATCTCTAGTCAACCTGAATGGCAAGTTAATGTAAGTCCTCCGTCCCTTTACGAAGTTGAAAAAGCCATAGGAAATCTGAAACGAGGGAGAGCAGCAGGCCCTGACAGGTTTAATCCTGAGATTTTTAAGGATGGTGGTTCAGTATTAACAGTGAGATCTTAGGTAGAATTTAGGAACTGGACGTAATCCCATCTGACTGGTCTCAATCACTGATTGTGCCAGTTTTTAAGAAATGACGAAAGTTCTCTTGTGACAATCACAAAGGAATCAGCTTGACTAATATAGTGTCTAAAATATTAGCTTCAGTAATACTTCGACGCCTAACCAAAGCTCGTGAAGAGCAGACTAGAGAAAATCAGGCCGGTTTTCGACCTGGACGTGGTTGTATAGATCAGACATTCACACTACATCAGGTTCTAGAACACAGACACACATTCAGATGCCCCACAATCGTAGTATTTCTCGACCTTAAAGCAGCATTCGACTCTGTTGATCGTAAGGTTCTATGGCAGTGTTTGTCACTGAAAGGAGTATCAAAGAAGTACATCAACCTTGCAAAGGCTCTCTACTCCAACACAACTGGTCGAGTGAGAGCTTATGGCAAACTGTCATCAGAATTGATTACCTCAAGTGGTGTTCGTCAGGACTGTCCACTCTCTCCATTCTTGTTTAACTTTTCGTGTATTTAAAATAAGACTTTCCTCATCTAAATCCCCAGAGGTTGAACTTCTACTGGGAGATTCACTTGTTGACCTAGAATATGCAGATGACATAGTTCTATTTGGCGAAGACGCTGACAAAATGCAGTCTTCTGACCACTGTAAGCAACAATGCAGACATGTTCGGGATGCGATTCTCCCCCTCGAAATGCAAAATGTTGCTCCAGGATTGGGTTACATCGACACCCGAACTAGTGATAGGGAGTGAAGTAGTTGAGTGTGTCGACCGCTTCACTTATCTTGGAAGTCTCATCAGCCTTTGTGGTTTAGTGTGTGACGAAATCTCAGCACGGATACAGAAGGCTCGACTAGCTTTTGCCAACTTGCGTCATTTATGGCGTAGGCGAGATATCCGTCTATCAACCAAAGGACGTGTTTACTGCGCAGCAGTTCGTTCCGTCCTACTTTATGGCAGTGAAACATGGCCGGTAAGAGTAGAGGATGTCCGTAGGTTACTAGTATTTGATCATAGGTGTCTTCGAAATATTGCTCGTATATCATGGGACTATCGAGTAAGTAACGCAGTTGTTAGGAAACGGGTACTAGGTAAGGATGGCAAATCAATTGATGAAGTAGTGAAACTTCATCAGTTGAGATGGCTGGGACACGTGTTACGTATGCCCAACCACCGACTGCCTCGACGTGCTATGTTCAGTGGTATAGGAGTAGGTTGGAAGAAAGCTAGGGGCGGCCAAACCAAAACATGGCACAAGTCCATGAAGTCACTGACAAGTGGACTGAGTCATGTTGGTAGGTGTAGACTACCTGGTTGGGGACCGCGAGATGACAGCAACCGATGGTTAGAGACCCTGAATGACATGGCTTAAAATCGTCTGCAATGGCGCAGATGCATCCACTCTTTGTGTTCTCCCAAATTCTAATCTTCTGAATTCTTCATTTCCCTTTTTTCCTCTTTCCAAATTTATTTCACTGGATTATACTCTTTAAATAACATCTCCAAACACTAATTTTTCTGATTACTGCTTATACTCTTATTACCTCTACCATTACGGGATTTGAATCGACCACTGCATCTCTGTGCTAATGTGGTGTGGCAACTCGAACTGATGTACGTACGTACGAAGTTCTACGTTGTTACTGACTGACTGACCTGAAATATACTCTTAGCTTGACTATCATTAAGTAGGCCTCTTAAGAGGTTTCCTTGCAGCGTATTTCCTACGTCCAGTAAGACGCAGACAGATGCGCGCTCGTACTAGAGCATGATCTGAATCTAAGCATGTGCTCTAGAATGAGCGACAGTCTTCTATCGAGCCCCTCCATCGGTGGCTGATAGCGATGTGATCTATTTGTGTCCAACGTTGGGACGAATTAGGGGGATTGTGTCTCACTTTTTGAAATTAATCAATTGAGTCTTTGGTTATATCTTAACCTAAGTAAGTGTCCTCTATTTTTTTTATAATAAATCCCTTTTTCGTATTTATGACATAAGAATACGTTCTGAATTTCCCGTTGAACACTTAGTTGAATGTGGTACTGAATCACAGTCATTTACAGAGTAAGATCACTAATACTTATTTGCTCTTTGTAATAAAATTTTTAACATGACTGTCATTATGCTACGATATACGTTGTAAATTTATACCACGTAGTATGTCACTTTACGTACACTGATATCTTTGGAGTTCCCATCTTCACTTAAGAAATTGTCTACCAAAATGACACACTCTCATCTGTCTTATTTTATTGTGATTGATAAGAGTTGTTCAAAACGGAGTCTTTTTGTAGCAGAACCTAAATGTAAAAAAAAACAATTTCAACTAACAAGTCAATTGTTCCTAAAATTCTTTCACCAGTTTTCTGAGAACCGGTTACAAAAGCTTATCGAACAGAAACTGAATTATGTACTTTTTTTCTCAGCAACATATGGTACTATAGAATGTGTTGCAAAATGTAAAAGTTCCTGAGTATAGTTAATGGTAATGACTGGAAGTTTAATATTGGAAGACATTATATTAATTCTCATTAGAATCACTCGCTTTTGTAATTTTTAAGGGTATTGGTAGTGAATATTAAGACTACACTGCAGTAATAGTTCTTTTAGTTGATAAACTATATTTATTGACCAGAAGATTTTCACCAGCACAGATGACAGCCAGCCAACGGTTTTTGTTTAAAGCTATATTGCGTTAATTATTTTAATAATTGATTATCTAAACATAGAATACTCTCGTATTGATTTTATTCGTAACTATAGTACTTTGTTGTAAGCATACTTCAATCTAAGTAATTCGGTGTGATTCCTCTTTGCATAGAAAGCTTTTTTACATAGGCATTTTAGATTCAGATGGTTTGTTGAATAGTTTCAACAGAAAGTACTTCGCCTTTAGTGAAACGATGATTGCTTTTCGTTTCTTAGATGAGTTAATCAGAATTAACCATGTGATTCGTCATATAGAAACCTAACTGAGCTGAATGGGTAAGAATGACACAATGTTTGAATGAACTACAATATGCATGACTCAATTACCAACTGACATAGAAGGTAGAAAAATACGTATTCTAGTACAAAGGGCTCTATTAGTCACTTTTATACAGTCCATAGATGTTTGTGTCCTTCCTCTGGTTAACAGAATGATGTGGATTGACCTCCCTCCAGCCAATCACAGTATCGTGAGTGTGAGCGCACCAGTTACTTTTCCGCATCTTTACCTTTTTTGTTTATGTATATATCTGATTAATATATGTGCCATGTAACTATTTCTCACAGTTTATTTTGTCTTATTTCTGAATGTGCTATGGTAGAAGGCTTAAATGAATATGTTAGCGTCATGATATGTATTGTACTTCATGATCACCCAATAGCTGGTATTATCCATCAGCCATTTCTTAACAAAACATGTAAGTTGTGGTTTCGTATATCGTCAATTTTTCTTGGTTTCGTTTTCTGTGATTTTGTGATGCGTGCTACTTATATTGACATAAGTAGTATATAACGCGAGTCAGGAATGTACTGTCTGCTATCAGAAGATTGGGAAGATCAAGAAAGGAAGAATGGGAATAGAAAGCAATTGGTGTGGAAATGCAAGAACAATGAAGTTCGAGACAATTATTGAACATTTTGCGAATTAAGTATTATAGTATGGTTTTTCTATTTTACCAAGTAACTGTAATTTTGTGCCAAATATAGTTCGATTGCCCTCATCTGCGTTCTCCTTCACTACAGTTTAACTAACTATTAGTGCATATATAATACATATTTATGGATATATGGAAACATAGAATCTGTATTTAAGTATGGGAGATGATTAGTTGACAAACAATCATGTGTATGACCTGATTTCAATCATTGGTGATTTTCCAGTTAAGTTACGGTATCCAAATGCTTTCGTCGTCTCCATTTTATCCAATCGTTTCGTATTGTACTCCTTGTTAGCTAAACTATAAACTTTGTATCATGAGCTACTAAGGCGAGTTTTTTTTAATATAGTCCATACTGAATTTAATTAAATCGGTGAAGCGGATAATTTTATATAAAATGAAATGAAACATCGCTGTTTAATCTAATTTTTGGCTATTTTTTCACGCTTCGTGAAAATTTTTAATTCACTTTTCAAACATCTAAAATCCAGCACTATAGTCTTGTGGCTACAAACGGACACATATTCTGATAAGACTTTATAGCAGCTATTTATTTGCACAAAACCGAATTCTAGACTTTTGTTTCAAATGTGATATATCTAAAGACTTGAAAGTACTAAATCAAAGGTCAATACCCCAACTTCATGCGAGCTAGTGTACTCAGCTATCAGTCGTCTTGTATAGCAACCACCAATATTATACTGATGTTCAGATTGGAGTAGATGACCTTAAATTAGGCTTGTAATCAGGCATCGGTGTTCAAAAATGAGAAAATGACGGGTACCTTGTTGTGATATCCTTTTAGTCCGTTAACCGACATTTATAAAAAAACACCAATATACTGCTTCGTTTAACAGCACATACTATTTCAAGTGAAGTAATAGATTTCACGCAATTATTTCAGTTAGGTAACCACATTGATGCTCATATATTGTCTGAAAGGTTTTTATTAATATTGCCTGGTTGCTTGGATTTCAATAAATAAATGGACCCAAAAAAGTAGTTGTAAGCGTATTCAGCAAATCAGAAAAGCTCGTGAATGGGACATTTACATACTACATCTTGGTATCATGTTTTATTTGGGCAAACTATATTGTCTATAATTGCTGACGAATTTATCCTCTTGTGTATTTTGTCTACTAACTCATCTACCAGGTACAGATTTATGCACTTGGCTTTGAGCTACATTCTAAAGGGCTTGTTAATAATACCCGGTTGTCCAAATCATGGTAGGTGGAGCGGAGCTCGAACCTTTGCTGCATTGACTGAGGGTCGAGTGCCTTATCCAGTAAGCCACCGCTCCTCTTGTCTAGTTATTGTTGATATTTATCATACATAAATCATGATAAGTTAAGAATCGGTGGGGTGTCTTTTCCTGTTTTTTATTGATATTGTGCTTTTGTTACTGGCGAGTGATATTTTCCTCATCATATGATTTTCCTCCGAATCAGGAAAAAAGTGGTCATGTATACTAAGGCTTCCATTCTGCGGTAGTTCATAATTACAACGTAGTGTATTTGTGTCTGTCGATAAATAAACACTTCTGGAAAGATTTATGAATCCAGTAATAGTCTTCTGTACACTAACTAAGTAGTTTTATGGGAAAAAATTTAATAATTCATCATCAGGTTTCCATCGTGTGATTATCAGTATGCAATCAATTTAAGCATTTTCATGTTGTTCCTAAGAGTATGAAAATGATGTTATACCCAACATTTTCGTAAATTGAGTTTATTTGATGGTTCGGATAAACCTAATTTAATTACCAATATCTTTTGTTTAAGTGAATTTAAATAACTGGTTGTTTGGAGAATTAGCTCGAAGTATTATATTTTCAGTTCTGTAATATCCGAACCAGACTGAAAAGTTATAATTTTGCATTAAATCGAATCCTTCAAAACATGAATCAAAAATAATATGGACTTTGCAAATGCTTACATATCGGAATGTAAATAACCAATAGCTTAAAGAAACAAAAGAGTTCATTAATTTGGAAATTTTTGCAACTTAACGAATTTTCTTATTTGAGAGAACTTTAGTATTAAAAAACCCACTCAACTGATTATCTATATCGTCTTATTTTATCTAAGTATCCATCACTTAAATGGGAGATTTCAAATGACTGGAAAGGCTCTTGACTCTACTTTGGATATAAGTATATAGGTTTTTCGAATATAAGTCTCAATAATTACATTCGTTACAAGGTAAAAGTAGGAAATATTTCTCCTTATCGTAAGTTATTGATTCAAATGAATTTATCTAAAACGTTTTAAATTAAAACAACCATATTCTAGTAAACTAATTGTCATCAAAAAAGGATCTTATAAATTATGCAAATTGTACTACTAGTCTTCAAATATAGTAGTTTTTCGCAAGAAATTTTCTTTGGATTAGGGAAAACCGTATATTTAGTTGGAAAGATTACTCTTCGAATTCCTTATCTTAATAACTGTTAAATTAGATCTTAAATATTCGCTTCGAAATATTTTAATTCTTCGACGCATGGTAGTTCATTTGATAGATATTTTACTCACTCGATTAGTATATATTATCCTAATTTTGTTTCATCATAGACTGGGGTTGGGGTTCATATGCATTATCATCTGATTTACAAATGGCTGTAAATTCTCGTCCTGTTCATTCGTTAAAAACGGTTTGTCGATTACTTATTCACGTTCACATTTAAACGAATCACTCATAAAAGATTTGACCAAACTTGTATATCCGAAACCGGTTCATTTTATACCAGCAGGTGGTGCGGGTAAGTAGTACTTCTATTTTTTGCTTACAAATAGATTATTCGACCATAATAATGATAAATGTTATAAATACATATTACATCTGTTAAATTTTTTATAATTTGTTATATGGCAGATCTTAGTAAAAATATAATTTTACGGTTTATAGGCTTAAAGTTACTTATATATAGCTCAAAAGCCCATGGTAATCGAAAACAACGAAACAATCTTAATTTTGTGAAGAAAATTAACCGTGTCGGGTGTGGTAAAAAAACTCTGAAAATATTTATTTCATCCCGTTCGGAATTACGTACGATTGTTTTAATAGAGCGCAATAGAAAACTACTTTAGTATGTCTGTCAGCTTCTGTTTTTTATGCACTTTTAATAACTTATCAAGCCACTGAGTTGTGATTATGACTTCATTCAAACATTCATAATAGTCCGACAGATACGAACCAAACCTTACCATCTCCACTTTAACCAGTTGATATGAACCTTCCGCTACGTGTAGTTTCATTTTACCTATGAAGTAACTGTCGTTACTGTTATATCCCAGCGAAGATTAAATTACGAGTAACTTCTGAGAACTATTAGTGGACTAATATTATATATATTCTTATTGTATAACTAGATTGTGTATATTTATATTCCTCCTGTTATGAGCATCATTTTGACCTATAGATTACTATTATACGACTTACTATCCTTAAATTATTTCCAGCTTATTGATTATTGTCTCCAACGTTCGCAGCCACTTTTAGCACGACCAATAAAGACTCTAGGTTGCTCATACCAGTCGAACGTCATCGGTTTCGCACAGTATTAAGACTGAATAAGTCGTATTTCAATTGGCGAATAAATCACGTGATAATAAACCGGCCTTAAAGTCACAAAAGTTGCTCCTTAAATTAGCCCTGTAAACAAACTTCTGAGTAGTGGTATTCAAGCATACGGTAGACTTGCCTTTGTCAGTATTTACTTCTCAGAGGTTCACAAAATTATTTGATTGGCATAGCGATAAACGAGTTGGTTTAACTATTTTCCTAAGCACCGTCCCAAATATTCCATTTACTTCGGAAAATTTCTATTAAACAGATCGTACATACTGTTTACAAAATAACCAGACATTCATCTGCTTGCTAATCTTCTGATAATGAACAACATTGCGAAAATTTTTATGACTGGATTATGTGACGTTAAATAGAAGTCTATCGGAAGACACCATTGTAATCATTTTTAAGGCTTAGTCGTAATCTTGAGGGAACTGCTATGCTTTATGGGATTCGAAGTAGTCTAACTTTCTGAGAACCTGCCACTGATCTTCTTGGGCCGTCATTGACTCCCTGCAGAACTGAGGCATTTACTCCAGTATTTTTGAATACGATATTACACTAATCCATGGTGCTGGTGATATTTTATTCATCGGGTTATAATTTAGCCATTAGTCTTATCAACGCAGATTCTCGTGTACCACGTTTCAGATTAAGGTGGTTGCGTTTGAACGTCATCAACCATGACTCTTTTCCATCATACATTCACTAATGGAAAGTCGTTATATTGATTTGTTCCACTTCAAACGGTGTTCGTCCAATTTCATCATTTTTGTTTTGTTACAGTATCTTTTATGAATAACACTCGTCAACAGAAGTTGATTTTTCCACTAGGAGATCTACTTGTTGAACTACAATACGCAGGTGATACGGTTCTGCGTAGTTAAGTCGTTAATAAAGTGCAGTCTTCTGACCGCCCGATCGAAGCTGCTACCTTGACGCGGTGATCGGGCTTGCCTATCGTGATGACCCAACCGAGCTATATTGGCTGGAACATATGTTCCTGCAGGTTCTACCATGCCAGGCAGGTCGATTGGCGAACGGTAAGACTAAAAGCAGCAACTCAAGGTCTGAGGGCGAAGTCGTACTGCTGACTGTAGAGAGGTGTGACAGCAGTAAGGTGTTTCCCTCGGACAACCAGCATGACAGCGATGCTGCCTTCCCACAAGGAGGGGTGGGGTTAGAAAAGGTCGACCCTAAAAATGCACACCTCACCTTACCTCACGGATTTCCGTCTCCGGCGGTAAGGCCCCTTGAAGAACGGAGCTAACACGTCAAAAACCTTCCACAAAAAGGCCGTGCGCGACCGGCCTCAAGCAGTTGTCCCTTGGGCTCTGCGGTCACGCTCCCAGGTCGTCAAGACCAACACTAATCCAATTTCCTTTTCAGGTTCCTCAAGAAATACCCTTCCACGGTGTGGGCAGCCGGGAAGTGACATCAGCCCTCATACCCGTAACAGCACAAGAGACCAAGGTGGTCACATTCAAATCCTTCCTACACCTCCTAATACTTCTCTTATCCTCCCGACTAACCCTCCTCACGTCTTTTTATCACCTCGCACCGCTAGGGCAAACGATTCGAGTACGTGGAACGCCATTCCTGGTCTCCTGAAACCACGCTCTAAACTACACGTAGGAGCTTTTAACGTACGAACACTTTGCCAAATAGGACAGCAGGCTTCCTTAGCTAAAACTTTAGAATCTCGCGCCATCGATGTGTGCTGCGTCTCCGAAACGCGCATACAGGATCCAAGTAGCGTCATTCATTTGACCTCACCATGCCAAAATAAAGAACCGACTCGATTTACGCTTCGTGTATCTGGAAGCCCTGATTCTGCTTCCCGTGGCCTCGCCGGCGTAGGTATAGCATTGAGTCCTAGGGCAGAACTAGCTCTCTTAGAGTGGATCCCAATAGACAGTCGTTTGTGCGCTGTCCGACTGAACGGAACAGTAAGAATCCGGAAAGATAGGGACACTCGTCGTTGCCTCTTCGTCGTCTCTGCCTATTCTCCCACTGACTGCAGCTCAGATGATGTAAAAGATGAGTTTTACAGAAAGCTTTCGGACCTTCTCCGAAAAGCTAGGCGCTCGGATGTAGTAATAGTGGCCGGTGACTTTAATGCTCAAGTAGGCAAACTAAGTGATAAGGAAAGACACCTAGGTGGATCTTATGGTGTCGTGGCTCAAAGAACAGATAATGGCGACCGTCTGTTGCAGCTATGCTCAGATAACCGCCTGTTCCTTGCAAATACTAACTTTAAGCATAAGGAAAAACATCTTTTAACATGGCGACCCCCTAATTCGTCCCAACGTTGGACCCAACTAGATCACATCGCTATCAGCCACCGATGGAGGGGCTCGATAGAAGACTGTCGCTCATTCTGGAGCACATGCCTAGATTCAGATCATGCTCTAGTGCGAGCGCGTATTTGCTTGCGTCTTACTGGACGTAGGAAAGATCCTGCAAGGAAACCTCTTAGGGCCCTACTTAATGATAGTCAAGCTAAGAGTATATTTCAGGAACAACTAGGAAAACAGTTAGGCAGCCATGTATGTGATGCCCACCCCGATGCAGCATGGAATGATATCCGAAAAGCTGTGGAAACAGCAGTGATATCTGCTAGTAAGGTAAACCAGAAGGTTAGGGAGCAACACTGGATCTCAGCAGCATCTATCTCACTGATAGATGCTCGGAAACTCATTCCACCTGGCTCTGAACATAATGAAGAGCGGAGTCAGCTTAAGCGCAAGCTGACAAGAAGTCTACGCAATGATCGCGAACAGTGGTGGGTAGCGAAAGCAAGAGAGATGGAAAAGGCAGCGGCAATAGGTAATAGCAGACAATTGTTCAGACTCGTTAAGGAAACCGGAATTAGGAACCCGACCGTTAGCGAAACAATCTCAGAGAAAGATGGACATATTATTCATTCTCAATCCAGGAGATTGGATCGATGGGCAGAACACTTTAGGGATCAGTTCAACTGGCCTTCAGCCACACTTCGGTTTCCCACGATCTCCAGTCAACCTGAATGGCAAGTTAATGTAGGTCCTCCGTCCCTTTACGAAGTTGAAAAAGCCATAGGAAATCTGAAACGAGGGAGAGCAGCAGGCCCTGACAGGTTTACTCCTGAGATTTTTAAGGATGGTGGTCCAGTATTAGCAATGAGATTAACTGAGGTCTTAGGTAGAATTTGGGAACTGGACGTAATCCCATCTGACTGGTCTCAATCACTGATTGTGCCAGTCTATAAGAAAGGACAAAAGTCCTCTTGTGACAATCACAGAGGAATCAGTTTGACTAATATAGTGTCTAAAATATTAGCTTCAATAATACTTCGACGCCTAATCAAAGCTCGTGAAGAGCAGACTAGAGAAAACCAGGCTGGTTTTCGACCTGGACGTGGTTGTATAGATCAGATATTCACACTACGTCAGGTTCTAGAACACAGACACACATTCAGACGCCCCACAATGGTAGTATTTCTCGACCTTAAGGCGGCATTCGACTCGATTGATCGTGAGGTTCTATGGCAGTGTTTGTCACTGAAAGGAGTACCAAAGAAGTACATTAACCTTATAAAGGCTCTCTACTCGAACACAACTGGTCGAGTGAGAGCTTATGGCGAACTGTCATCAGAATTGATTACCTCAAGTGGTGTTCGTCAGGGCTGTCCACTCTCCCCATTCTTGTTCAACTTTGTGGTCGACGTACTTTTAGAGATAACACTCTCCTCATCTAAATTTACAGGGGTTGAACTTCTACCAGGAGGTTCACTTGTTGACTTAGAATATGCTGATGACATAGTTTTATTTGGTGAAGACACTGACAAAATGCAGAGTCTTCTGGCCACTCTAAGCAACAATGCAAGCATGTTCGGGATGCGATTCTCTCCCTCGAAATGCAAAATGTTGCTTCAGGATTGGGTTACATCGACACCCGAACTAGTGATAGGGAGTGAAGTAGTTGAGTGTGTCGACCGCTTCACTTATCTTGGAAGTCTCATCAGCCCTTGTGGTTTAGTGTGTGACGAAATCTCAGCACGGATACAGAAGGCTCGACTAGCTTTTGCCAACTTGCGTCATTTATGGCGTAGGCGAGATATCCGTCTATCAACCAAAGGACGTGTTTACTGCGCAGCAGTTCGTTCCGTCCTACTTTATGGCAGTGAAACATGGCCGGTAAGAGTAGAGGATATCCGTAGGTTACTAGTATTTGATCATAGGTGTCTTCGAAACATTGCTCATATATCATGGGACCATCGAGTAAGTAACACAGTTGTTAGGAAACGGGTACTAGGTAAGGATGGCAAATCAATTGATGAAGTAGTGAAACTTCATCAGTTGAGATGGCTGGGACACGTGTTACGTATGCCCAACGACCGACTGCCTCGACGTGCTATGTTCAGTGGTATAGGAGTAGGTTGGAAGAAAGCTAGGGGCGGCCAAACCAAAACATGGCACAAGTCCATGAAGTCACTGACAAGTGAACTGAGTCATGTTGGTAGGTGTAGACTACCTGGTTGGGGACCGCGAGATGACAGCAACCGATGGTTAGAGACCCTGAATGACATGGCTCAAAATCGTTTGCAATGGCGCAGGTGCATCCACTCTCTGTGTTCTCCCAAATTCTAATCTTCTGAATTCTTCATGTCCCTTTTTTCCTCTTTCCAAATTTCTTTCACTGGATTATACTCTTTAAATAACATCTCCAAACCCTAATCTTCCCGATTACTGCTTATACTCTTATTACCTCTACCACTACGGGATTTGAATCGACAAGTGCATCTCTGTGCTAATGTGGTGTGGCAACTCGAACTGATGTACGTACGTACGAAGTTCTACGTTGTTACTGACTGACTGACTGAGTCTTCTGACCGCCTTGAGTAACAATTTAGTCTTGTTCAATGTGGGATTCTCTTCTTAATGCATAGTGTAGATTCAGCACTCTCCTGAATTAGCTCATGAATTGATGACATTGCATGAAATAGTCGAGCATATCAACCGCCTCACTTATCTTGAAAGTCTCATCAGTCCTGATGACCTGGTACATGACGAAATCCCGGCGCAGATTTAGAAACTTCGGTTGACTTTGACCAACTTGTGGCACAGGTGGTATATCCGTCTACCAACCAAAGGACTATTTTACTGTGTGGAAGTTTGCTCCGTCCTAATTTATGGGCATGAATTGTAGCCATTAGGAATAGAGGATACTGGTATTCTGCCAGTGTTTGATCGTAGGTGTTGTCAAAACCACTCGTGTATTCTTGAACCATGTAGTCGGTAATTCTACCGTTAAACATATGATGCTATGTAAATATAACAGGTCAGTTGATGATGTAGATCTTCATCACTTGAGGTACTCATTAAGTATACCTAACTAACTCTTCCCTCAGCAGGGGATCTCTAGTGTAGGAAGTAGGCTGTACGCAAAAATAGGGTGGCAAAAACAAGACATAGCACCAGTCAGTGAAGTTATTAACCGTTGGACTGAGCTGTGCAGATAAGTGTAGACAGTATGCTTGGGATCAGCGCGGATACCGAAACCAATTGTTAAATGACATGGATCCAAATCGTCCACAAGTACACTGGTGTACCCATTCCTTATCTTTTTTCAGACTCTAGATTTCCAAATTCCTTACATTTTTTTCTTATTTCACTGATTCATCTGTTCTTAGGTCATATCTTGGATGCTTAATCTTTCCTGTTATCACTAATACTTTTACTAATTTGGGATTTACCCCAACAATTACATCTCGCTGTGTTCATTGGTTATGGCAACCTGATCTGATGTACACACATACCTAGTACTACGTTGCGTCCGATTGATTGTACTTTAGCTGCTTACGTGTTTACCTATATTCTGGAAGTAAAAATAAACCATAACCATTGACTGTTTTGAATTTGTGTTGGAATTCGCATTTCGATATCCTAGTTACCCTGACGTAATAGTCATTCTAAACCCTCATTTTTTTATTTAATTTAGTCGGAACGTTAGACATTTGTAATGATTTATCATCATCATAAATGAATAGGAGTACTTTTGAAAATTTCGGTGGAAGTATTTTTAATTGTTCAATTATTAAGTGATGTAGTACGTCACCACACTTGGAATTTCGAAATGAATTTTTAGGTTGCATTGTTTGCAGTTTAATAATAAACATCGTCCTTAACTGAGCTTAAACCAAAAGGCCGTACCATTTTCTGTACTAATCAAACGAACGCTCTGAGAAACAGCTTTTGGTTTGGTGGATAAACGATATTCATCTTTCAGACCTTTATCATAATAGCTACTCAGAAATTAGATTTCGTACAAATATACGTTAAGAAACTGGTTGATAATTAATTATCTCATAATGCATAGTCGTCAGTTAATTTTGACTGACTCAAAGCTACTCTATCACCTTGATTATTTAAATTATATAGAGTGAGATTCAAAATGGTTAAAGGTTCTCCATGAATTTTGATTTAGAATGCTCTGCTTATCTTGTTTGATTTCAGATAATTATGTTACGTTCAACTAATTTTGATTTTGGGATTTGTTCAATGAAACTTATCCTGAATAGTTATCTAATGTTTTAATAAGTTGATAAATATTATTTTAAGACTTCAACGTAGTCAATGTATTGTATGACCATACAAATATATTAAATACTTTTAGGAACAGTCACGACTATCAAAAGTAACATGAATACGTTCTCATGACCATTTGAATTTGTGAATCACTGGTGCGAAATGAAGTAAATTATACTTTTAAAGTATGTAACATAGTATTTTAGTAACTTCCAGGTTACATATGTGTTTCTTACGTAGGCTTTAAAGCTATCAGTCTTATCAAAGGAGATGCAGATGTGTATATTCACCCATCAACTACACGTCGATGGGATGTTTGTGCACCACAAGCAATCTTGGAGTCTGTCGGTGGTCGTCTTACCGGACTGCATGGTTCTCCTCTTGGATTTGGCTCAAAATCTTCTCCAGGTATACAAAGCGAAATGGGCCTCTTCGCCGCTGCAGACCGTGTGTTGTATGATAGGTGGAATACCAAAATTTCCGATTTCTTTAAAACCTGAAGTTGAATCTCATTTCCCTACATAATATCCGAAGTTGTTTCATATCTTTTCTATTTGGGAGATTATGCGGTAAGCATCACCAATTGTAAAACATATTATCAACATTACACCAATATAATTCATCTGTTTTTCCAATCGACTCTTGTGTTTCACAACGATATACATTGCTACGATGATAGTTTGATACATATTTTCGTAAAACTAATATATCCAATAAAATGCGTTCTCTTCTGCATTCCTCTTACTGTATACTAGAAAATGATGCATTCTTCTATATATGGATTTGTTGTCAAGCTATAGGCTTTATAAACTTTGTTAACAAAAAACAAGCAAGCCTAATCTATCACTCCGAACGCTCATAACTTGAAAAAAAACAGCTTATGTCAAGGAACTTGGAAATACATAACAACAAACGATTTTGAATTAAGTAAACGTAAGTAAAGACGTCCTCTTCAGATCTCCAATGCAGCGGTCTCGCATATCAGGCTATAGCACTAAGTTCACAATCAGAACAGGTTCTCTTGAACTGGACTCTGACAGACAGTCGCTTTTGTGCTGTCCGACTAAACGGGACAAAACCTCGATAATATGAGGGCACACCGTTGCCTCTGCCTACGCTTTGGATCAAGGAGAAGGTGTGTTTCATGGAAAGCCTTCCGACCTCCAAAAAGCCAAACGCTCAGATATAGTCCTGGTGGGAGGTAATTGTTATTTTAGGTAGATAGTTTAAACCAAACTGAAAGTCAGTTAGGTGGGTCTTACGGTATTGCGGCTCGCAGAACAGATAACGACAAACGGATGCAGTAATTACGCACAAATAACAGCTTGGTTATAACAAGCGCCAACTTTAAACATCATCTGATACGGCGACCTCACAATCGAATCAGCGATGGACGCGAATAGACCACATCGCCATCAGACGTCGTTGGAGGGGATCAACAGTAGGCTGTCGACCGTACTGGGACGCATGTTTAGACTGGAGTCGCAGTCTAGTGCAAGCACGTATTTAGCTGCATCTTACTGGACGTAGGAAAGGCACAACAAAACCTGAGGTTCAACTTAATGAACATATTTCAGGAACAACTACTCAATCATGAGTGATATTCACCCCGAGGCAGTCGGACATGGTGCTCAAACAGCTGTGATACCTACCAGTAACTTGGGCCAGAACGTGAAGAGATATCAATGGATTTCAGCAGCGCCCACTGAACTGATGGATGCTCGAGAATTCATCACGTCTTGGTCTGAACACGATAAGGAGCGTAGGCAGCTTAAACTCAGCCCGATAAAAAGCCTACGCAATGGTCACCTAAGGTTATTGGTACGCATTGAGTATTTCCAACTACCGCTTCCTTCAACAGGGATGTCTGGTGTAGGAATAGACTGTGAGAGACCAGTGGGAGGCGAAACTAAGACACGGCACCAGTCCATGGAGTCATTGACCGTTGGGCTGAGCTATGCAGATAAGCGTAGACAGCACGGTTGGAATCCGCGAATATCGAAACCAACTGTTAGGGACTTTGGTTGACATGGTCCAGAATCTTCGCAATAATGTAGGTGGATTCACTCATCTCCTAAAACCTGAGTCCCAAAATCTCGATACATTTTCTTTTTTCTATACCTGATCTTCTTAATTGCTACTCCCAGTACTCTGGGATTTGTCCTGAAATGATCTTATTGCAATATGGAGATGCGGTCTGGTAAAGCAAACCGATAATGATGTGTCTACTATGTCGTGTAAAATCGGCTTCTCATTTGACAATTTAAGCATATAAAATCGGGCACCAAAAGTAGAGCATGCCTCAAGGCTCCTGATCAGGCAGAAAAAACGAAGATCTCTACATAACTTCTGATTGGATGACTTTATTCTGAGTCACTGGAAGTAAAATGAAAGCCTGTCTGCCAAGAAATTGATCAAAGTTATCATAACTAGAAGATAAGAGCAAGCGTTGCCAATTACCCGAAAACAACCAGATTGTCCTCTTGTTCATCAAGTGAAACAAGTTTCGAGTGATGGAAAAGAAAGTAGTTGATATGAAATTAGTAGTACTTGACTTTACGTAGGTTAGTGCTATCTAATCTTGAACTCAATAGTAGATTAGTACTTCTCGATCTCAGTCAGTACAGAGTGGTACGTATCGGTGTGTGCAGTCTAATTATAAGCAGGTATAATTACCGGGACTCTGAATCTTCAATCTGACGGTTCATTTATGGAATTAAGGGATTTGGGCTACAATCCCTGTGGTAGTGTTGCGCGATACTGCACTTGAATGCTAGATCTTAAGTTATGAATACATTGCCAAAACTCGGAAAGCTATATGGTGCAGTTAAGCGACGGATTGGCTTAAGGTACAAATGTCTCAATTTTCTATATCCTCAACATAATTTAAATTGATTTACTCAATTAATTTGCTTGGTGAGTCAAGCTCTCTTGCGAGTTGATTAGGTTGGACTACGTACTCGTTCTAGATTGTCCAAAATATAGAGTCCGACAACAGCCATCTAACATTTAATTGGGTAGGCATCTTCTGAGAAACGGTGTCAGGGTTTCTGTTAGATTTATCCCAATTTAAGACAAAGGACTAGTGACTCGAGCTTCTTGTCATTATCAAAAAGCTGACATGTCACCGTAAGCAATCAACGCGAATGAGTTCGTGCACAGTCCAGGCACTACCTGACAAGGTACGGAGCCACGTGCTCTTTGCCACAACGGTTGTACAAACGTCCAAAACCCCGAATAGACCCAGTGCATGCCATCATTAGAACTGTATATCCCGAAAACTGAGATGTACCAAACACAGTCTTCCGTAATCCCCACTTAGCCAGTGGCTCAGTGATGGGCATATAGCCCTTGATACATATATGACACTGCACGGAGCCTCATTGGGAGGCGCCCCTGTTCTGGTCGCTAGTTAAGGACCTAGTGTAGAGTTAGCAACCCCACCTCGAGAGCAAAATTTTAACTAAGGAGAACGACACGCAGAAAAACCATCCAGACCACTCAACCTGTGCCCTGAGAATTGAAGGGTCTTAATATGTAACTTGTAACATTTCATGGTAAGAGCAGAGTCTTTGAGGACCATAGGCCCTATACCTCGTTTGGCAACTAGAGCAAAGGTAAATGTATACACAAAATGTACAGAGAATTTGGGAAGGTCAATCAAACAGCGGCGGAAATGAAGATAAAACCTGATTCTGCTTGGAATAGGTGCAACCTACTGAACGAAATCTGGACGGAAAGGGACGGCTCGAGGAATTACCATTGTATTTCGGTTACGATGAAGAAATTGCTCTACACAAGGAGTTGCATGTTTGCTCTTCAGAAAAGCACGGAAGGTGCTTACATGATGAGAAGTCCATGAGTGTTGATGTGTAGAACTAAGAGGACCTGGATCACAACTTAGTCTGGCAAATTTCCATTCACACAAATACTCTGATGAGTCTTAGGTTTACTGCCAACCCAAACTCTTGGTACTGTAACAAGATATCTACATAAACACCCGTTCCTGTACAAACTAGGGCACCTGCAGCCAACTAAACAACGGACAAAACTTATGTTTGCATAAATTAGTAGAAAATCATACATGACACTGTCGAATGACTACCTAACGCGAAGTCAGAACCCAAATAGCAGACAACTTAACCGGTTACATGATAGGGATCAATGGTTCAAACAACCTCCTTAGTGTCCATGCCTAATGTTCAACCATAGAATAACTGAGTCTACTTGCAATTCATAAAGCTGTACGCAACAAATGAACAAGGTATGGTTGTCAGATTTATTGCAAATGACACGAACTGAGATCAGTTAATATATCAAGTAAAGTGTAAAGCCATCTCTATCAGGAGTTCGATATTGTGACAATATATGGAAAACCCGAATTCATGTACTACGGTATCCACAGAAAGACAATAAATGAATATGCAAAACTCGGCCTTTTTTGTGCAAAACGAAGCTTCATCACCCAGACCCCATTCTGTTGAACGCGTTGGCGGCATCTGTGGTCGGTGACAGTCACCACTTACAGTATATTTGGTCTTCTTGGTTTCTTGCAGGCGGAATATTCTCTGCTTTTCTTGGAACTGCATTTCCCATAAGGATATTATTAATTTTGAGTTGTGGCAACTGATGGTGTACGATAGGTTTGGATGTCACAAGTTTGTCGGGACTAGTCAGATGCATATTTCTGATACGACAGTATTGAGATGCTTTGTGTATTTCCGACGCTTACATATCTATTCCTTGGCCAGTACTTAGGTATTGACAAACCATTTGTCATCGTTATGATTAGATTTTTTGACTGTGAACTGAATAAAAAACAGAAGCTTATAGAAGAGTTTGTAGGCCTAGTGAGACCTCTATGAGTCCTGGCCAAATCATCCATCAATCTGAACCATTTCTAAGTCTGATCACTGAACTCCGAATAGTTTGTTGAAATTGTCAATGCTAAGAATGACTAGCGTAAGATAGTGAGCTTGCACGCCATGAATCGCCCGATTTACTTCTCTAATCCGTCCTATCTAATAAACTGAATCACTTCAGTAAGACTCTACTTGTTTGTGCAGTTGTAACAGCCGAAGTTAGGTAGTAAAGAGTTGATTGGTAGTCTCTTATTAGAACCAAAACATTTGAGACATAAGTTGGTCATTTAATTTCGCATTTTATTTAAGTATGACACTTCTCATTTTGTTCTATTAAATAATGAAATTATCAGAAGAGTTTTTTTGGAGATTTTAGAAATTTTAATAGGTGAAGTCATAGGTCAAGTGGAGCTAGACCACCATGAAAAACGTGGAAGTACCGGACGGCCCTTCGTCCTAGTTTGTGACTACTCAGCAATGCGCATCCTCGGTCCCACCCCGCCGCGAGTTTGGAACCCAGGACCTATCAGTTTTGCCCGCGATCGCTTAACGATTAGACAACTGAGCGGGCATCCAACTGTGTTAATGTTTAGCTTCAACTAGCCCACGAAATTGTGCCACCGTACACCATTGTCTAATATCTCATAGGAGACCTGGTTGAACTCCAGTGATAACGTCTTCTCACTAGAACCCCAGGAAATGCCACTTGGAGTCAATCCATAATGAGCAGATTATTTTTATCAGAAGGGGTTTTGTGGACGAATACTTCTAAATCGCAATTTGAAATATAAGCAGGCAGCTCGGGTCCGTTTATGCTAAAACTTCTGATATTGTCGAATCACACGCCCACTCCCAACTAGCTAACACCTAATCAACATCAACTAGATATTCACTTCTGAATATCGTCACAAAGTCCTATCATGACTTGACAATCACGTAAGATGACTGATAAAAGTGATGAAACGATTGGCATACTCGGCAGACAAATAGACTTTTGATTATCAACAGATAATGTTGTCTTCTCGTGGTCGTCTTCATCTACTATAGATGATTTCAATATGTTTCTCTATCACTTTCTCATTCAGTAAATGTCTTGGAATGTTGTCGGTCTAATTGGCGACACAACCATGCATGCAAATCCTCGGTATAAGCAATCAAGCAAATCTTCTGCACAGTGAAAACATCACAGTCGGATTTACCCCACTACTTAAAAAGATTCATGCCATTATCATAGACATAAAATGGGTGTTGTACTCCCCTTGATTTCAACTTTTGCTCCCCCTGATAATCACATGAGCACCACTCACTTTTTACCATCCTGTAGAGATTTATTCAGCCGAAAGCATCTTGAAACACCATGTCACGTACATCTGTGTCACAAAAGCTTAGTCGATATCAGCACTTTATAATCACTCTATTTCAAATGAATGGATTTCTACCTTGTATCAAACACAATGCTTGCAACTGACTTGTATGCACCATCAGCTGGTAGGTATGAATATAAATGATTGGTCTTGTGTACATCAAAGCATTCAGACTAGGGTATGACTCTCAAGGACTCATCCATATTTTACCAATCGCTGTTAGCTATCTGTCCAAAATACACATGGTCATCACGATTCTCACTTATTTAAAGTTCTCATAAAAATTCATATGTATTGGTAGTCTAATTAAATCCCGTCACGGGTAAGCAGTAATGAGGTCGGAAAAAATCTACAGGCAATTAATTAAGCCTCACCAAACTTAGCAAACTAACTGAAACACTGGTCAGAATTCTTCTTGTCCTCGGTTATTCTTTCGTGCCTGCAGGTAGCCCTCATGCTACTGATAGAAGAAACCAGACAAGTAGTAAATAGGTCTTTATTTAGATCTTCGCGCAGTCACAGTGTAGCGTGTGATTGTCTGTTCAGACAAACAAATCCTCTCAACACTCAATATGAGATAATAATAGAAATAACATATATACAAAATAAGGAAGTGAATGGTTACTTGAACTATACTGTCTTGACATATTCATAGTTGATTGAGTTTAACACTTAACCAACCAACCTAAGCTGTTACAATCCTTTCGTTCTTTCAGTTAGTCTACTAGTGCAGATACAAATGGAAATGAACTCATACGGACGGCATACCGGCATAAACGTTGACTGACTTTCTAATCAAAACCAAAGATAAATCCAATATCAACATTTCTATAACATTAGTTGTTTTTCCGGTGTATAAGCACAACATTCTTATACTGCCATGAATAAAGTTCTTAACCAATAGAGGTTACTATACATCTTAACGTGACTTGTGAAAATATCTCTGTACTAAATCATCCTTCATTATGATAATCCCTTTTTATTTACCTCTTGAATGACATCCACGTAGAATTTCATTTAGGGCGTGTTGAGAATTAAACCAAATTTTTTGGAATTATTGCACTATCTCATGACCAGTTGTTGCCACTTTTTGATTTATATTTCAGTTTATCAATACCTAGGGGATTCCTATCATTGGTTTGGTAACTTCCGGAGCGTAACATACCCACTCATTTGATGTCCAACTAACGTCACATTTATTCTGGTGAGAGAGTAGTTCAGTGTTTTTTGTTCTTAACCATACGATTTTTCAAGCTGAGCGTATAATTACTGAAAAAGGTTTACATTCAACGAGTAACGCTTAGTGAAGGTCAAAAGTTAAGAACGCGGGGACAATTGGTTTTTGTGATATGGAACAGTTTTTCATGCGTGACCATTCTATGTGACCTATCCTTACACCAAATATATTACTATATCTTCACCCTGAATGTGTTCTTCAAGCGTGCTAAACGTTGCATTGCTGATGACCATTAAAGGACCAGTCAGAATGACAACGATGCAAATTTCACCTTAAATTTCATAAATTAGATAGTCACATTTTTAAATCCAAAATTTTTAGATTAGGTCTCTTATAATATTAGCGAATAAAAATGTACTATTACCGAACTGCACCATATTCTATAACACGAAAACGTATAAAAATTTATAGAAGGTTTAAAGAGGACCAACGAACAATCGTTTTCAGAATCTATAGTTCATTTTACCAGATGAAGTAACGATCACCGATGGAAGGCTGTCGGATACAGCAAAGTTCGACAACGGTGATATGCAAATCCTTTCTAACTAAGTGATCGTGACGCATTTAAGAAAGACGGCATTGGTGAACGGATTCAAAAACACACTTTTCTCGTGTCCAGAAGTAACGTGACTTATAACTTTTAAATTCGCTAGTTGTATAACGAAATTTGTACCACGGTATTTCGAAACGCAGCCTAGCGGAGTGCTTGGTCAAGTGCTTCCATCCAATTAGGGTTTATTAACATTAACATGGTTAGTACCAATGCCGATCACATAAAAACTAATTATTTGTGGAACTACTCAATGTTACATGTCAATTGTATAACTTCTCAGTGACGACACATATTCTGTCGCTTGTTTAAGTGTATTTTTGCGCATACATACCTCATACAAAAGCTAGAGGTGAATTGAAGTACTGAGATTCAATGAAATATGAAACATGCGCAATTCTATCGAATGACGAGCTGACTGTAAATAACAACTAGCGCCTGAATTTGCAGATCAACTATATGAGACCACTTTAACGTAGTTTACAAGCAATATAGCTTCTTTCGTGATTGTTTTGGACTAATATTTATCCCATCGTCATACTATTAGGATAAGAAAGTTTTAGAAGTGGGTTTCACCTTATTTCACAGAACACAAGAAGCGAGTTGAAAGACTAGACAGACTGTTTAAAAACGCAAATATTTAATTACATATTAGAACAAAATGAGAAGTGTCATACTTAAATAAAATGCGAAATTAAATGACCAACTTATGTCTCAAATGTTTTGGTTCTAATAAGAGACTACCAATCAACTCTTTACTACCTAACTTCGGCTGTTACAACTGCACAAAACAAGTAGAGTCTTACTGAAGTGATTCAGTTTATTAGATAGGACGGATTAGAGAAGTAAATCGGGCGATTCATGGCGTGCAAGCTCACTATCTTACGCTAGTCATTCTTAGCATTGACAATTTCAACAAACTATTCGGAGTTCAGTGATCAGACTTAGAAATGGTTCAGATTGATGGATGATTTGGCCAGGACTCATAGAGGTCTCACTAGGCCTACAAACTCTTCTATAAGCTTCTGTTTTTTATTCAGTTCACAGTCAAAAAATCTAATCATAACGATGACAAATGGTTTGTCAATACCTAAGTACTGGCCAAGGAATAGATATGTAAGCGTCGGAAATACACAAAGCATCTCAATACTGTCGTATCAGAAATATGCATCTGACTAGTCCCGACAAACTTGTGACATCCAAACCTATCGTACACCATCAGTTGCCACAACTCAAAATTAATAATATCCTTATGGGAAATGCAGTTCCAAGAAAAGCAGAGAATATTCCGCCTGCAAGAAACCAAGAAGACCAAATATACTGTAAGTGGTGACTGTCACCGACCACAGATGCCGCCAACGCGTTCAACAGAATGGGGTCTGGGTGATGAAGCTTCGTTTTGCACAAAAAAGGCCGAGTTTTGCATATTCATTTATTGTCTTTCTGTGGATACCGTAGTACATGAATTCGGGTTTTCCATATATTGTCACAATATCGAACTCCTGATAGAGATGGCTTTACACTTTACTTGATATATTAACTGATCTCAGTTCGTGTCATTTGCAATAAATCTGACAACCATACCTTGTTCATTTGTTGCGTACAGCTTTATGAATTGCAAGTAGACTCAGTTATTCTATGGTTGAACATTAGGCATGGACACTAAGGAGGTTGTTTGAACCATTGATCCCTATCATGTAACCGGTTAAGTTGTCTGCTATTTGGGTTCTGACTTCGCGTTAGGTAGTCATTCGACAGTGTCATGTATGATTTTCTACTAATTTATGCAAACATAAGTTTTGTCCGTTGTTTAGTTGGCTGCAGGTGCCCTAGTTTGTACAGGAACGGGTGTTTATGTAGATATCTTGTTACAGTACCAAGAGTTTGGGTTGGCAGTAAACCTAAGACTCATCAGAGTATTTGTGTGAATGGAAATTTGCCAGACTAAGTTGTGATCCAGGTCCTCTTAGTTCTACACATCAACACTCATGGACTTCTCATCATGTAAGCACCTTCCGTGCTTTTCTGAAGAGCAAACATGCAACTCCTTGTGTAGAGCAATTTCTTCATCGTAACCGAAATACAATGGTAATTCCTCGAGCCGTCCCTTTCCGTCCAGATTTCGTTCAGTAGGTTGCACCTATTCCAAGCAGAATCAGGTTTTATCTTCATTTCCGCCGCTGTTTGATTGACCTTCCCAAATTCTCTGTACATTTTGTGTATACATTTACCTTTGCTCTAGTTGCCAAACGAGGTATAGGGCCTATGGTCCTCAAAGACTCTGCTCTTACCATGAAATGTTACAAGTTACATATTAAGACCCTTCAATTCTCAGGGCACAGGTTGAGTGGTCTGGATGGTTTTTCTGCGTGTCGTTCTCCTTAGTTAAAATTTTGCTCTCGAGGTGGGGTTGCTAACTCTACACTAGGTCCTTAACTAGCGACCAGAACAGGGGCGCCTCCCAATGAGGCTCCGTGCAGTGTCATATATGTATCAAGGGCTATATGCCCATCACTGAGCCACTGGCTAAGTGGGGATTACGGAAGACTGTGTTTGGTACATCTCAGTTTTCGGGATATACAGTTCTAATGATGGCATGCACTGGGTCTATTCGGGGTTTTGGACGTTTGTACAACCGTTGTGGCAAAGAGCACGTGGCTCCGTACCTTGTCAGGTAGTGCCTGGACTGTGCACGAACTCATTCGCGTTGATTGCTTACGGTGACATGTCAGCTTTTTGATAATGACAAGAAGCTCGAGTCACTAGTCCTTTGTCTTAAATTGGGATAAATCTAACAGAAACCCTGACACCGTTTCTCAGAAGATGCCTACCCAATTAAATGTTAGATGGCTGTTGTCGGACTCTATATTTTGGACAATCTAGAACGAGTACGTAGTCCAACCTAATCAACTCGCAAGAGAGCTTGACTCACCAAGCAAATTAATTGAGTAAATCAATTTAAATTATGTTGAGGATATAGAAAATTGAGACATTTGTACCTTAAGCCAATCCGTCGCTTAACTGCACCATATAGCTTTCCGAGTTTTGGCAATGTATTCATAACTTAAGATCTAGCATTCAAGTGCAGTATCGCGCAACACTACCACAGGGATTGTAGCCCAAATCCCTTAATTCCATAAATGAACCGTCAGATTGAAGATTCAGAGTCCCGGTAATTATACCTGCTTATAATTAGACTGCACACACCGATACGTACCACTCTGTACTGACTGAGATCGAGAAGTACTAATCTACTATTGAGTTCAAGATTAGATAGCACTAACCTACGTAAAGTCAAGTACTACTAATTTCATATCAACTACTTTCTTTTCCATCACTCGAAACTTGTTTCACTTGATGAACAAGAGGACAATCTGGTTGTTTTCGGGTAATTGGCAACGCTTGCTCTTATCTTCTAGTTATGATAACTTTGATCAATTTCTTGGCAGACAGGCTTTCATTTTACTTCCAGTGACTCAGAATAAAGTCATCCAATCAGAAGTTATGTAGAGATCTTCGTTTTTTCTGCCTGATCAGGAGCCTTGAGGCATGCTCTACTTTTGGTGCCCGATTTTATATGCTTAAATTGTCAAATGAGAAGCCGATTTTACACGACATAGTAGACACATCATTATCGGTTTGCTTTACCAGACCGCATCTCCATATTGCAATAAGATCATTTCAGGACAAATCCCAGAGTACTGGGAGTAGCAATTAAGAAGATCAGGTATAGAAAAAAGAAAATGTATCGAGATTTTGGGACTCAGGTTTTAGGAGATGAGTGAATCCACCTACATTATTGCGAAGATTCTGGACCATGTCAACCAAAGTCCCTAACAGTTGGTTTCGATATTCGCGGATTCCAACCGTGCTGTCTACGCTTATCTGCATAGCTCAGCCCAACGGTCAATGACTCCATGGACTGGTGCCGTGTCTTAGTTTCGCCTCCCACTGGTCTCTCACAGTCTATTCCTACACCAGACATCCCTGTTGAAGGAAGCGGTAGTTGGAAATACTCAATGCGTACCAATAACCTTAGGTGACCATTGCGTAGGCTTTTTATCGGGCTGAGTTTAAGCTGCCTACGCTCCTTATCGTGTTCAGACCAAGACGTGATGAATTCTCGAGCATCCATCAGTTCAGTGGGCGCTGCTGAAATCCATTGATATCTCTTCACGTTCTGGCCCAAGTTACTGGTAGGTATCACAGCTGTTTGAGCACCATGTCCGACTGCCTCGGGGTGAATATCACTCATGATTGAGTAGTTGTTCCTGAAATATGTTCATTAAGTTGAACCTCAGGTTTTGTTGTGCCTTTCCTACGTCCAGTAAGATGCAGCTAAATACGTGCTTGCACTAGACTGCGACTCCAGTCTAAACATGCGTCCCAGTACGGTCGACAGCCTACTGTTGATCCCCTCCAACGACGTCTGATGGCGATGTGGTCTATTCGCGTCCATCGCTGATTCGATTGTGAGGTCGCCGTATCAGATGATGTTTAAAGTTGGCGCTTGTTATAACCAAGCTGTTATTTGTGCGTAATTACTGCATCCGTTTGTCGTTATCTGTTCTGCGAGCCGCAATACCGTAAGACCCACCTAACTGACTTTCAGTTTGGTTTAAACTATCTACCTAAAATAACAATTACCTCCCACCAGGACTATATCTGAGCGTTTGGCTTTTTGGAGGTCGGAAGGCTTTCCATGAAACACACCTTCTCCTTGATCCAAAGCGTAGGCAGAGGCAACGGTGTGCCCTCATATTATCGAGGTTTTGTCCCGTTTAGTCGGACAGCACAAAAGCGACTGTCTGTCAGAGTCCAGTTCAAGAGAACCTGTTCTGATTGTGAACTTAGTGCTATAGCCTGATATGCGAGACCGCTGCATTGGAGATTTGCAGACGATGTTTTGTAGTCCTATCTTTGTTATCCTGCTGTGATATTCGGCACGTTTTATTATTGTGATCTCCACTATCTGTAGTTTGTTACACGGTTCTAGCGGACCAGAGATAACATTTCTTTTAAAGGTCTTACAATCAGAGACGAAAGTCTTTAGGTTTAGTTGTGACATTTTTAGACATTAACATTTCTTACCCCTCCCCGTTGTTTGGAGTCACCATTTCATATATTGGTTATATGAGCCATGCATTTGTGCGGTCAGCGGTATTACTTCTCTCTCGGACATCAAGTTGCTGCTCTTGATGGTACCGTTGTTTTCAAACCATTTGACTAGCATGGTAGGACCTGCAGGAACAAAAGTCTGATCTAGTGCATCTCGATTGAGTCATTGTGATAGGTAGCCTAAACCAACACATTAGTGTAATTGCTACATTTGGACAATAGATAATAAGGCCAAACTTATTACCGTTATAGATCCACTAATGTACATTTGGAATTCATATTTTTGTTAATGTTTTTTAATGTATTGTGACTTTCAATCAGATGATAGCAAAAACGAACTATTAATCCGGTTATTAACTAATGTCTATTGTTTTTCTCAGCTATGTGGCCTCATTTCTCCGCTGCCGCCTGGACAAAATCCCTCATTCATGGCCCTCCACCATCCGTTGAGGAAAAAGTGGATAATTCTGATGGCTGGGGAGCCCTAGCTCGACAGTGGGCACATCAGCGTAGTAGCCAATTGCAGCCTCATTACACTAACAACGTAGCTCTACCTCCTCCTCCTCCTCCTCCTCCACCTCCACCCCCACCACCCCCTCCTTCTCCGCCTCCGCCACCAATTGCTTTTATACCACCAACTCAAATCCAGTCAAATACAAGCAATTTAGTTTCCAATGCATCCCAAGTTGACTCCAGCCACCTATTAATCCAAAACTCCCTATTATGTGCACAAGAGAACCCCCTTCCCTCACAAAGTATGTGCTCAGTACCTGAAAATGCTCCACAGAGTTCTTGGTCTTCATTCGAAAATTCCAGGGTCTCGCAAAATTCGTGGTCTACAAATAGCGGTCAAGCATATTCACAGAATTTGTGTACGGCACCTGGATATCATGGTCCTCCTCAAAGTGCTTGGCCATCCTATAATAATCATGAGTGTTCCCAGAATGCTTGGCCTTCACAAGCAAGTTTACAAAGCAAATGGTTGGCACATGAAAGTCACTCTTATGGTAACCAAGTTCCACAGGGATATAGTAATACCATTTCCCTGCCAGGTCCTTCGTCTCAATATTATGAGCATAATCATCAAATCAATTATCCTTCCAGTGAAAATTCAAACAATCCTGGTATACATTCTAAGTCTTATGAGGAACAGTATTACAGTGTGGGGAGTGGCCATACGGGTCAAAACACACGCTATCAAAAGAGATGGACTCAAAATGATCAGGGTGATTGCGATTATGGTTCTCACGCTTCAGAAGTTTATGATTATAACCATTCTTACTCTCTTGAAAGGTCATTTAACTCGTCAGCTGTTAGACCGGCTAATCCTTATAACCAACCCTATCCACGTTCTAACCAGAATAATCGTAACATGTGGCCTAGAAATCCCGAGTCTTTCCAACCCGTAGAAAGCTTTCCTCCACCTGAGCAATTCAATGATATGCACCTTCACCGTCCGAGTTATCAATATCAAGTGAGAGTTGTGGGTTTATTTGGGGTTTACTAGTTTATGGGTTTTAAAGAATTTCGTTTTTAAGTGTCCTATGTACTTGAATATTTCTTTGAATTCAACCAGTATTATTTTAAAAAGATATCCTTTGTAACATCGCTTATCGATTTGTAACTAATGTACTGTAGATAAATTATCTTATGTGGTAAGTTCAGTATGTTGGTTAAAACTCTTGTCGTTAGTAATATTGAAGCTTATTTTGAGGATCTTGTTAACTGTAGGTTCAAACCTAGTTGTAGTATGAGGTTTAATGATTTGATGTTCTTTTTTGTTTAGGGAAATCACTACTTAAGACACATGGATGTTTAGTATTTTAATTTTTTAATGAATTAATCATGTTCAAGTGTAGACCGTTTAACTGTAGCACGTTGTGAGCAATGAAATTACAAAATTTTAAGCATATTACATTGTTCTTAGAAATTCATTGCTTGTAAATATTGCTTCTTGAAGTAAGTTAGTAAAAAATGCTAACATTCCTCTTTACTTTTATGCAGGATGAACCTAAATATATTCCTCTCAGTGAAGATACATCGGTGAATGAAGGTAATCAATTCCGTGGATGTCATGATCACGACTACCGCATAACAATACAGAGTCCTACAGTTCCGTCTGGTAGTATGGAAGAAAATTGGAAGGATGTGGATACTCGTCCCATTCTGCCTAGCGACAGTGGTCACACAAGCCCGGGAATATTTCCATCGGCTATTGCAAATAAAGCCTTGGCTGATCCCAGACCGATTTCGCTTATCCCAACTCCCATTGTTGAATCTTCGTGTAAGCCCAGAGGTCGTATCACACACCTGCCTGTTCCGGAACACCTAATGACAGCTTTCGGTGGGCCCTCATAATATCATCTTTTTTGTTCACACTTGATGTCTTTAATGTATTGATTTTTTGCCTTATGGTAGGATTTTATTTGAAAGTATCGCAACATACTGCTTAGCAGAATTATATTCTTTATAAAATCCTACTTCGCGACTGACTTTGTAAGTTTGATCTTTCGATTAGGACTCCCTCGTTATACTATAGAGTTTGTTGGAATGTTCTATGAGTAGATAAGGGAATTTGTTGAGGTTGGTTTATTTTGGAACCAAATATCCTAAACTCTCGTGTTTGTGGACAAATTATGAATGAGTCCATAATTCCCGTTGTCTGATAATTAAAAGTCAGTCAGTCGTAACGTAGAACCCAGTACGTCTGTATATCTTTTCAAGTTGCCGTACTCCATTAGCGCAGAAAAATGAAATTTTCAGATCAAATCTCAGGATTGTAGAGGTACAGTATTCGTAGTAATCGAAAAGATTAAGCATCAAAGGCCTATTTCCAGAAAAATAGTAAAATAACACAATAGAATTTCAGAATTCTGGAAAGACAGAGAATATATGTATCTGTGTCATTGCAAACGATTTTGAACCATGTCATTCAAAGTCTATGACCATTAATTACGGTATTCACGCGGATCCCAACCAATTGGTGTACACATGAGTCAATCCAGTTGTCAATGTCTTCATGGAGTGGTTATAATTCGAAAACCGTGTTAGTTTATGCTTTGTATGATAAAATTCTCTTCATATTTCATCCTAGTTTTATTGTAGCTAAAAGTGATGCCGTTCAACGATTTTAAGCTTCACTTCACTCTAACAGGTTCTTAATCAATAGAAACTGGCAGGCCTTTCTATAATTTGAAAATAACAGGCTTTTTGGTTTATAAATTATACATTTATAGGAAATATTCTAGTACAATTTGTATACTAGAGTTATGCATTGCACCAATGAGTGGTGATGCTACAATTAAATTAAGAGAAGATTGAATAATCAATGAGTAAATGAACGAATCCGTGTTTGATAAAAGCAAACTAACATTACTTATGATTCGTTCCTCTTCAGTTTGATAATCCCGTTTTTAATTATCCGGGTTTTCTCGGTCATTATTTTACAATTTAAAACACTGTCCAGAGGAAGCTGCTGCAAGCACTGGAGTTTGGCCTCCAAAGAATTTAGAACCAGAACAAACCGGAGGTGGTAATACCAAACCTCGTGCTCTCCCCGCATGGCTTCGTGATGAATTAGAGAAATTGGAAAAGAAAAAAGCTAAAGAACTGGCCGCTGTATCTGGAGCTACTGGTTAGTCTAAATGTGTTTACAGTAGTGATGCTCAAGTTTTTGAATGCTTGAAACTATATAGAGTTTACAGAGGGATAAGCTTTTACCTGCATTGTGGGTCAGACCTTTAAGTCAAAGGCTCGGGTGTGGCCCCCTAAGAAAACCACCTGCTTCGGTCTGGGCACTCGGGCAGTATCATAGCCCACACACAAATAAAATGAAAATGACTATATTATTATTATTACTATTTATTATTTATTTGGACACATAAATATTGGTACAAGAGAGCCCCAATATATATGCGCCACACAAAACAATGAAAATTCGAAGTGAAAGAAAAGAAAAGGTAACGAGCGTAAATTTATTATTATTTATTTGAACACGAATATTGGTACAAGAGAGCGCCAATATATATGCGCCACACAAAACAATGAGAATTCGAAGAGAAATAGAAAAAAAAACTAAGGAGCGCAAAAGAAAAAGAGAACAATAACGAAGAGATTGGTGTAAGGTAGTGTGGTAGTAACGAGGGAACGGAAAGGTACAATCAGAAGAAATCTTTCAGGTAAGGGAGACACAACCACTTTTTATGAAGAAAGTAAAAGAAGGTTACAGCAGGATCGCCACTGGCTTCTATTCTGAGCCATATCTGATAACGTCTCTAGCCACTGTGTAGCACCATCTCTCAGACCCCAACCAGGGAGTCGTGAAGGACCGACAGAAGCCAGTCCTTTGCAGCTTTCTTTCATACCACGACACCATGTCATGCACTGACCACCTCTCCGCTTCTTCCAACCAGTCCCAGAGTCGGCAAATAATGCACGACGTGGAATTCTCTGGGACGACATTCGGAGAACATGTCCAAGCCACCGAAGTCGGTGTTTCAAGATGGTGACACCAATTGAATTATCATCTCTGTGCCCGAACACACGATGCCGAACCTCTGCATTACTGACATGGTGTTGCCACTGAATGTCAGCAATCCTTCGGAGACAGCGATGATCGAACACAGAGAGTCGTCTAACGTCCTCAACTCGGAGAGGCCAGGTTTCACAAGCATAGAGCAAAACTGCTCTCACCGACGCGTTGTAGATCCGACCTTTTACAGCCAGACTAACATCACGAAGGCGCCAAAGGTGGCCCAGATTGGCATAAGCCGCTCTGGCTTTCACTATACGTGCATTGATCTCATCACTCACACCCCCACCAGCACTTATGCAGCTACCCAGATACACGAACTTCTCGACTACGTCTATCTGCTCACCATCCAGGGTGAGTACAGGATTGGAATCCTGCCAGTCTTGTAGAAGTACTTTGCACTTCGAAGGTGCAAAGCACATACCATACCTACGGACACTGATTGCCAACTGATTAAGTGCGGATTGCATGCCTTGGGCATTATCGCACAGTAAGACAATATCGTCCGCATACTCAAGGTCGAGAAGTCTTTCTCCAGGCAACAGATCCACACCACCATTACTTACATTCATCAGAGCTGTTTCCAGAATGTCATCGATGGCAAAGTTGAAGAGGAATGGTGAGATTGGGCAACCCTGCCTAACCCCACTGCTCGAATGGAACAATGGAGAGAGGTGGTTGTATGCCCTCACTCTGCCTGAGGTGTTTTATATAGGGCTTTTAGGATGTTAATAAACTTCTCAGGCACACCCTTCTTCAATAGACAATCCCAGAGAACAGTCCTGTCCAACGAATCGAAGGCAGCCCTGATGTCAAGAAACACTACGATTGTTGGCCTTTGATAAGTATGGCGGTGTTCTAACATTTGGCGGAGGGTGAAGATATGATCAATACATCCTCGACCAGAACGAAACCCAGCCTGCTCCTCGCGAGTCAATCTTTCTCGGGTTTTGAACAACCTACGAAGTATGACGGAAGCCAATAGCTTGGACGCAATCGGAAGTAGACTTATCCCCCGATAGTTGTTACAGGAACGACGTGAACCCTTTTTAAAGATAGGGACAACTATCGTGATGTTAGTCTGGCTGTAAAAGGTCGGATCTACAACGCGTCGGTGAGAGCAGTTTTGCTCTATGCTTGTGAAACCTGGCCTCTCCGAGTTGAGGACGTTAGACGACTCTCTGTGTTTGATCATCGTTGTCTCCAAAGGATTGCTGACATTCAGTGGCAACATCATGTCAGTAATGCAGAGGTTCGACATCGTGTGTTCGGGCACAGAGATGATAATTCAATTGGTGTCACCATCTTGAAACACTGACTTCGGTGGCTTGGACATGTTGTCCGAATGCCGTCCCAGAGAATTCCACGTCGTGCATTATTTGCCGACTCTGGGACTGGTTGGGAGAAGCGGAGAGGTGGTCAGTGCATGACATGGTGTTGTGGTATGAAAGAAAGTTGCAAAGGGCTGGTTCCTGCTGGTCCTTCTCGACTCCCTGCCTGGGGTCTGATAGATGGTGCAACACGGTGGCTAGAGACGTTATCAGATATGGCTCAGAATAGAAGCCAGTGGCTATCCTGCTGTAACCTTCTTTTACTTTCTTCATAAAAAGTGGTTGTGTCTCCCTTACCTGAAAGATTTCTTTTGATTGTACCTTTCCGTTTCCTCCATTATTATTATTATTTGTTATATCTTGAAGGTTGTTCTTGATATACCGCGTATAACGTGAGCACCAGAAAGGCAGAACCCTGCCAAGTCGCAATGAGAAGACAGAAGACTGTAGAAAGGAATATTATCCCCGGGCACTGTCAATTATTGTACAAAATTGTCAGGTATTTATAGTTTTTAGTAAGAACGAAATCATCATTGCAGTCCACCAGTCCGCGTACATGGGGTTATTCGCATTGTCCAATCGGGAAGCTACACATAGGAGTTCTAAAATATTCTTCCAGAACGTGATTGGATGGAATATCTTCGGCTCCTTCCGAGCCTCCTACAGCTTCTTCGAGTTCATCCGTAGTCCGTCATTCACATCATTACTATTATTATTATTATTGTTATTATTATTACTACACTACCTTACACTAATCTGGTCGTTGTTTTTTTTCTTTTACGCTCCCTACCTTTTTCTTCTCTTTACATTTTCATTGTTTTGTCTGTTTCCCAAATGCCCTGGTACGGTCGAAAGTGTGGAGAGTCACCTCTCCCTCTCGAAATGCTCTCACACGACCACGCGCATATATTGCTTTTGTCAGGGAAGTCCTACACATTGCTTTCTCGTGGCGGGGTGTTGTTTACGAAAATGACCAGACGAAAAGCGGATGTTCAACGCTTTAACCTGACTAGTGGTCATGGAAAGTCCACATAGGGGAGTTGGAAAACTCTGATTTCAAACCAATGGTGCACATGGGCTCCAGTATCCTGAAGGAACAAATGGCATATGAACCAATCGTTGGTCACCGGCTACTATGGGACCGTATCTCCTTACGATGCTCCACTGCCTTGTGGATCAAACCTTCGGGTCGAAGGCTCGGGGTGTGGCCCTCTAAGAAAACCACCTGCTTCGGTTTGGGCACTCGGGCAGTATCACAGCCCTCACACATATCAAATGAGATTTGTGTGGCGCATATATATTCGGTGCCCCCTTGTGCCAATATTTATATGTTTTAATAAAATAGTAAATAAAAAAACTACCTGTCGAAGGGCCTACATCCTCATACAAACCTGAACTATCTTGATAGGTTAAATTAGTTAGCGGTTCGGTTGTTCATCCCCTTCATCTGACTACATTTGATTTATGTGCAACTTTATGCATCCATGAACATTTCATGGTATTCTGGGTTTAGCATAAAAAATAACTAGATATTTCCGTGTAGTCAAGGTTAACTGCTTCGTCCACCAGTATAGATTTATTTGTTATTTATCGCTCATAGCCGTTTATAGAAATAACTGAGAAAAACTCTAGGAGTTTCTGACAACCGTTTACTCCGTATGAATAAACGATTCTCTCGTAGTGGCTGTTTACTTGTAACAATTTCAACGTGATAGTCATTATAAATCCCTTGAGTTCGTTAAATGTACTACATTTAATCTAATTTATCTACACAATTTCTGATTTCTAATCTGGTACTACACAGCCACAGAGAATTTGTTTTTATCCTATTTTGAGTTGACATTCCAAAGACTGTTCACCATAATGCTCGAAGTTTTTTCATTTGTTCAGTACTGATTTCAAAGCATCCACCCAGTTGTTTTCTGGGTGCTGTCCTCTGCATAATAATGAGAATCATCATATCGTGGGCTGTCCAAGGTAAATTATTCAGAATACTACGATAAGCATGATTATTTCGATCAGTGTTAGGTATTATTTTGTTCAGTTCCAGGATAATGCGCATTTTTTGTTATGTTTCTTTATACTATGATACAACTTGTGTTGAAATGCCTTAGACAACACTAGTTGGGTCGTTTACTATTTATTTTCCGAATATGTTACTAAATTCTGTTAGTCAAAATGATAATTGATGTTCAATACGTGACGTTAAAATTACCTCAAAGCTTCATCACTATCTTAAGTTTTAGGGGCTGCTCCTGATGCTAAAAGGGATGATGAAGGTGATATCGTTATGGAGGATGAAGCTAAAACTGATGTCCAAACACTAAAATCTCTATTGAACAATAATGAGGAATCAGATAGTGATGTCAAGGAACAGGGAAGTCCTTTTGATGTCTCAATTAATCCTGTTGGTGACCTCCAATCCCCGTTTTCATCTCGAAGTCAACCTCCTGCGGAATCAGAGGAAATCTCAAACCCTGAAACTGCGGTAAAACAACTAACTACAGATAATTCTCAAAATATTTTACCCAACACTCCTGCATCATTAACGGTAAGCTCATTGAAGCTTGTAAGCAAATTTCAGTGCTTAATCGTCAAGCTACTGTATGGTGATTTGACTTCTCGTAGCTATATTCCACATTTGAACCAAAAGTCCCAGATATCCCATTAATGCATTCGTTTGACACTTTCATCAAATCGCTTCATTGTATTGAGAAGAGTAGGATTTGAAGCAATTTAATGATTTTTAGTTTATGAGATTTTAAAAGGGAAGTTTTTGGAAAGTATCAGGTAAAGCTAGCTGAACTTTCCAAAGACTAACTATTGTATTGTCTAGCGCTTTGAACAATTGACGCATATTGTCATTAAATATGACTTTATTGAATTCGATGCTACCTCACACTCATTCTCTGCCACATGTTTGATATGTATTTGGTTTTGCGAATGTTGGAACTGCCGTATTCGGACTGGTGCACAACAGCCTACACATCTGCTATCCCTTCAAGAATTTCATGAGTTGTTCGCATCACTATCGGACGAAGAACAAAGGACTGAAACGGTAAGAAAATATTGTATCCAATATATTTTCCCAAACGCAAATAAATATTTTTTTGATTTTCTAGATATTTCTTACTTGAAATATGGAAGGTTGACATTAACGTATCAATTACCAAGCTTATGACTTTCATAACAAACTTATAAAGATGTATTTTTTCTAACCTAGTAGTAATTGTTTGTGCTGATCGGAATTTTTTCCAACCTAAAAAAGTAGTTAAAAACACGACGTTGGTGAACTTGTACACAGATCGGTTGCTTCACTTTAAACAACTGTGATCTCACATGATAGGTGTAGCTCATATCCTAGTAAATAAGTTAATATTTATATTTACTTTGATTTTATCCAGCTTAATCTTTAGCATTTTATTCAATTATGTTCTGTGAGCAAGCTTTTTTTCTTTGAATTGTTTGGAATGGTTCATTTGGTCATTGTGATTTCACTAAATGTGATAACCATGAAGCCTTAGACCTAGTTACTCGTCAGGAATACACATTTGCTGATATTCATCTGGAGAATCAAACCTCCATCGCTGTTTCATAATCAAAGACGTTTCTTCTGAAATATTCAAAGTGCGACCGATATATTGGACAAAAAAGTCAACACTAATCGATCAGTACTCAGGACCAGGTAGACATGGAATTGATAATTTGTCAGTGATCTGTGAATCGCTGTCAAACACTGCGACGTTAGAAGCAAGTTGTTTTTTGTGCTAGTAATGTCGTTTGTGTGATAGTGATGTGGTTTTTATTCGAAACTTTCAACTGTCAATCAACACAATCCAGCTACTCTTCTGGATCTCTGAAAGTTTGAGCAGCCAAATAAATACCATTATTTCTCAGACAATATACCTGTTCTAGGCTAGTGATTAAGTATGCCTAGATTTTCAAGATGGTGTTATAGTTGTTCTTCACATAACTAGGTTTATAAGTAAAGAATATTAGCCGTGAATAATATCTGTTTACGATCTAATGTTCTTTCCAAAACAAGACTTAATAAATTTGAATAATCAGTAAATTTCATCCGGTTTTACAGGCTCGTTTTATTACCCGGACGCTGACGGAGGCTCTACTGGCTGTTACAACTGAACTCATTGACGCCATAGTAGAAGAAGTAATGACAGAAGCGGTTTCAGGAAAATCGCATGTCCTACCATTAGAAGACTCTCCATCTGTTGAAATAAAATCCCCAATTCTAGGTAACTGGATAGCATTTGTTTTTTTGTTCTTTGTGTAACTAATTTGATTTGTTATATTTAATCACAACTTAATTGTTTGGAACACTTGTATGGTCCCAATTATTAACTAAGTAACATGTTCTAAGGGTTGAATTGAACTATTATTCATCTCAGTGATTCATCGCCTGAGATTTTGTATTTGTATTTTACTTCATATTTAACCAGCAGTACTTGGGAATGCAAATGCTTATCTGTTTTTTAGTTATATTTTGTCAAGGTTTCTTAAGCGCTAATTAACAGACATTATTTAGCGTAGTGAGGTGGCTAGACTCAAATTCCAATCAATACAAACAAGGACGTTTGACACTTCAGCTTCAGCTAAGTATTTTTATGATTATGTAGTGTGCTAATAACTCATATAGTACGTTTCCTTTATATTGTCACATGAACTGGTGTTCATATGAAAAGACTGCACTGCTGTAACTAATGCACGCATGATGTACTACATAGTATGATTGCGTATCGGTTCAAGTTATTAAACTACTCATCGTAACGTCGAAAGCTTATAAAAAGTGGGAAAATGAGGGCAATGAGATTTGTGGTATTCATAGTGGTGAAAATTTAAGTGAAAATAATCTTGATAGGGGTCTAAAGTAGTACTAGAGATCGATGTATGAAAATTTAAAAATAATTAAATAATGCATCCTCACCTTTTTGAGCTATGTCAAATAATGTTCTATGTGAAAAGCTACGAATTTTAGTTTAATAATCAAAGCTATATGTTCTGATTTATGTAACATTGTTTACTTTTAACGTGCTAAATGACATCTAACTGGGTTCTCCGGTTTGATACAATTTACTAAATGACAATATTGCCGGTAATTTGAACTGTCTAACGTATTACCTATTTACGATCATATGTGACGGTAGAAATTACATTATGGGTATTATACTGTGGCCCATGTGACCAGGCTGTAACTTTCGAAGAATTATTATATAATTTCTCTGGTTCGATCAATTATTTTCCCTAAGTCTACACGGTAAGATCGGTAACTTGTTTACCTACAAACATCGATTAATGAGGAATAACCAAAAACTTAACACTTACTGGCTCTTGAACTCCTACTAACCTATCATTCAACCAGAGGATAAAAGTAAGAAGCAGGTCGGTTCTCTATTGTATTTTATTTAATCATGACTCAAATCTCATAGAATGATATACCTGAAATGACTGACAACACAGTAACACGAGAGAGAAGAGTTATCGGGGAGCATCCAGGTTTTTAATCAAATAGTTATGTTATTTCTCAAATCGCTGTCTCTACAGCATTGGTTACAATGAAAGAACTATCAAGCAAACACTGCTCTTGATGATATATTTGAGTATTTAATTGTCAAAATTTATAAAGGAAATTCATTAACCCCTATTATTTTGCAACTTTTTACAGGGTTAGTCTCTTATAATAGTGAAAGTGAGTCAGAATCTGAGCAAAATGTGCTGGAAAGTAAACTACCCACAAGTAATATATCAGGTATACTACCAGGTGATGTTCCTGATGATGTAAAGCATGATTATACATCACAGAATAGTCCTAGTAACGAAAGTAAGTTTATATAAATAATGAGGTAACTTTTTATACTCGTCCGTGAATCTTAGAAACCGTTGATGAAAATCGCTGGATCATGGGTGTTTCTGTAAATTCTATGCAGTCGATCATCTCTCCTACATCTCCAACACTTAGTTGATGGTGATATCCTTTTCTGTCGACCTTTAATTCATTTTGTCCTCACACAACATGTTCGATTGTGTATGTATTTCGCACTACTGTGTCCCATTATTTTGATAATGAATGAAACCTTTGAAAACATTGTATCTTGTGGCAGCTTTATTTATAAGTATACATTTGTGATTTTGATGGAGTTTTGTTCTCTGAGCTGGATGGTTTGATCGTGGAGCTTTCATCGTTCTTCTGAACGACATCATCAGCAAAAACTTCAGATAGAAGTGAAGTGTTTGAATCTCTCCATACATTTGTGATCTTTGTTATCTGCAAAATCATGGCTCTCATACTTATGCTTCAAATTCAAGTGTTAATCAGCTTTCGTGGATCGTGGGTGCGATAAAATGATTCCAAGTAGGCCTTTTTTTCTTCCTGGGATTGTTTTGCGTAGTTCGACATTATATCCAATAGAAATCTAATAACATAATGTAGTGATCATCTAAGTCAATCACTATGATCGTTGAGTATAGATTTTTGTGACTTAATAATGATCGATGAATTCTTGGGGTATTTGGAGTACTCTGTACATTTCTAATAGTTTCATGTCTGCAATTCGTGATCCGCTGTACGGTTTGATATAACGTCTCATCGACTTTAACATCGTAACCGATGCTTTAGTTTATTTATCTTTTCTTTCAAAATGTCACTTTACACAGGCTTGTTATGCTGTAGTGTTATCGTGAATTGAATGGATTCAGTTATCTTAAATTGTAATACTTTGATGTTAATACTTAGTGCTATCAATGTGCCAAGCACTAATTTAGGAACTTGTGAAAAATAATTGAACGCACGCTATGTAGTGCCCAAGTAAAACACCTTTTACTTACCAAGACTAATTAACTTAGTGTCATCACATAAATTCGACAGTAACTAAGATAAACATCAGTTTGTCTGAGTGTGTATGTTGTCTAGTGGTTGTTTCAATGAAATATGCATTTGGCGAGAACTTATGACATATAAAGATCCTATCAATATAATCGTATGTTACATGGTTTTTCCCTATATTAATTTTGTAATTATGAGTTTGGAATACAGCTATATGTCGTATTCTTTTTATTCTGTATGACTTCTAGTAGATATTTGTAACCAACTTTCCTACAAATTTCTATTTCCCTTCACTGAATTTAATCAGTAGACTACGTTTTTTCCGTTCATATCAACTGATGAATTTAAAAAGCAGAAAAATAGTGAAAATTCATGTTCGCAATAGTTACAGTCTATAAGTACTGGTTCTTCGTTTTTCGAAGTCCTTATAATTTGTTTTACCTTCCAGATAATAAAATTGTCACTGGAAATGGAAAATTTCAAACTGTACAAGAAAAGTATTATGAAAAGCAATCTTATTCTTCCAGCATTCATCAGAAATCTTTTAAACGCCATAAAAATGAAAAAGAAACGGATACGGTCGTCACAATTTCACGTTCGCATTCCAAACATTCACATAAAAGGAAAACAAATTCACGGCATTCCCATCGTAGTCGTAAGAGAGATTTTCGTGATTCGTCAACAGCTTCTTCAGAATCTTCAAGTTCGAATCATGGGAACCAAAAAGTAGGACTCTCTCGATTCAGTCGATCCTCAGAAGATCACAGTGATAATGTTCGGTCACCAAAACCTTATTTTACGAAGTCCAGTCATTCGAAACATTCTCATCATAAAAGTCATCATTAGATATGTACACTTTGCTGTACTAAGTGTTGACCTGTCTTCGGTTTGCACTTATAATCCTTAGTTCACAAGTGAGATTTCAGACAGGTAATGTAATCATTTGGTAAGTGAATTTTATGACTTTCAAATCAAACCTATTTCTTCATGATTGACTTAACAATAGTAAAATGGTATTTTATTCATCTTTTGTTTCGGCAGTACAAAGTTACTGCATTAACTTTAAGATACAGTGGATCTGAATTTATATATTAGTCCACAGTACGCACTTTTGGAAAGCAACATTATACGCTTTATTTTGAGTTGGCATACAATATCTATTCATACTTATGGTGTTTGTTGTTTGGTCTAAAATAAATGTTTAAGTTCTAGACGCATCGTTTTTTTGCTACAGTCCTTACACTCGTTATTGTTCTATTTAATCTTCGTCTTCTCAACTATATTTCCTTGACAATTTTCTTCTCGACACTTCCTTGCAAATGTTCTCAATGTCCTCAAATAAACTGGTGATCTCATACAGGTCTCCGTGTTCCAGTATTGAATAATGCTACCAGTACAATTAGACAGAGTATTGTACAGTTACTCTTACGTTTATCCGCCTTTTTTCTCATCATTATTCTGTTCAACCTACTGACACAATACTCCAAGTAAATCTTAAAACAGAGTAGCTATTTTTTGAAACTTACTGATTTCAACCTTCTTTCAGTCAGTAATTTGCTTTCCTGATTTATCGTCGAATTTGTCTTTGCCTTTCAGGTATGGAAATATTCGGTTTCCCAACAATACAACTGTTAATATGATCTTAATTTCTTTTTCATATAAATATGTGTATAAAGTACGAATCATTTGTCTACTTAAAAATAATCTACTGCCAGTCTCCATCTTATTCTTTGTCTTACTGATTGTGCTAGCTTTAGTCGTAACGTGAACAACATCGATTTTCGAATTATTTTTAACTTTGAAAGTATATAAACATAATTCAGCTGTTAGTCACGCAGATTGTCTCGAATGTGTTAAGTATATCATATTTGATAATTATTGACGATGCTTTAGGTCACAGGTTTGTATATTAAATTGTTGCTGATCAAGTACTTAAAATTCTGGTTCACCTCCTCTTTTGTTATAAGCATTTTAAGAACGCAAATGCTTGTTTTGTTCCTTTTGTGGTATCTGAACATTTCTTGAGTCTTTAAATGGATAGAAAGGTTCGAATAGATGAAAAGACGTTTTAATAAACTCACACAATTCGCATAAACGTACGTACGTTCGTGCGAGTTTGATCCAATTCACCATAGAGTTTTGGAACTACCAGAATAATAGTGTAAAAATGATTCATACTCAGACAATCAAGTCGTTTTGTTCTAATAAGTGTTTAGTGTTCAGGAAAACTAATCATTTATGACAAAATAATGTTTTTCGTTTCTTTATAAAATTTAAGGCATTTCTGTTTTGTATGAAAATTGTCCAAATAAACAGATACATCAATTAATAAATGAAATGCATTGATTTGATATTAACCCCTTTATGTACTAATGTTATAAAGAGTCTTCAAGCCGGAAAAATAGGTATTTACAGTGAAGTTACTTGTTATGTACAAAAAATAAAGTATAAATGAGCAATATTAAAAGCTAAGCCCAACATGAACGATTAAAATACACAGGTTTAGTTCACTCCGATGCCAAACCAAATCATAGCTAGTAGTATCAACTTTTAAAATGTATATGTTAAAAAAGGGCAACCAAAATTGTTTTTGTCTACGAGATTTACGGGCTCTCCACCTTCAACACACTAACATCAGGTGAAATTAAGGAATCGATCCTATGGTCGGTGAACATGAGATTCTTCGTGAAACGAATCCTTGTTTGCGTAATCCTTAACCGTTAAATATATTTACGTCTTACGCGCTGGTTTTTACAATCATACACTAATCGAGCTTGAATTAGATGCGATTTTTGAAGTAGTCTTGATCGATAGCCAAACTTCAAATCTGATCACTGGATAAAGCTGCTGCTCTGCAAGGAGTTCGTAAATCGAACGGAAACCGTATATTGGTCAGTAATTAACACTAAGTTTAATCGCTCATCTTTCAAACAAGGTGTGATAGATCATAATGATTTTCTTCGAAATCTACTGAACAGCTTGAGTTAAATCAAGATGAATCGCCCTCAATTCGCACTGCAATTTTGGATCTTGTGTATCCGACGGATTAATTTACCACGATAAGTTCCAGAAACACGTCAGTGGTGCCTAAGTAGTGACCAATGTTATTGAGTCCCAAGTCAGTACTGATGCACTTTTCGAATTAGTTTCTACGCATGAGAACATGTCAGTGACTGGATATTTGCTGTGTTTAAAATGTCTCAAGGTCCCCACGAATGAAGATTGCCGGGGTAATGCTAAATTCTGTATTGATGAGTATTACCAGTGTACTACAGATTGGAAACCGTAAGGCCGTCTACTGATTTTTAAGTTCTTTTCCAAAAACGAGTATCGCGAGATAAACGCAATATTCGTATTGAAACGGTTTTGGTTGTTTCGCTTACTACAAATGAATGTTGGATTCCCACTTCTTAAAACTATAACTTGTCGAAAAAGTATTCCTAAATATAAGCATCCAAATCATAGTTGGAGATTCTCAAGTAGGGTGGAATATATTGCATGTTAATCGAATATGAAATAGGGCAGATATCAAACAAAGTGCAGCGCTGAGTTGCTTAACATACATCATTTATATCGCGAATTGATTTTACTCACAGCATCAATGAGAACCAGTAAGCACTGAAAAGATTTCGTTCCCAGCATGGGCTGTACGTATTCTCGGCCCGCGTTCATACGTTAGACCGATATACGAGGTTCAATCTCCTGTGATAGTTAGTGCATGAGCACTGCTGAGCAGTCACATACTGGAGCGATACAACCGCACAGTGCACTCTGGTTTTCCGGTGGTGGTCTGGCTAAGATCGCTTCGTACTACGATTCTGTAGTTACCTTCTGAACTAAGAATATTAATCTGTAGTAGTCTTATTTTGCATATCCTTGACTTTTTTAGTTAGTCAAGAATATTAGGTCAAATTGTTTTCAAATTGAATATATACACAATCCCAGCTTTTTTCGAATAGTTTACAGTTAGGTAACTTGGATATTCTATCTGTCTAGGCTTACTGATCGCTGGAAGTATGCGCCTCCTTGATCTGCAAGCGACATTTGTTCTTCACAGCACCAATCGATAAAAGCATTGCCAAGAAGTATATTACACACCCTTTTAAAGTCATATCAAAACCTTGAAGCTTATTTAGAAATGTATAACAAATCTGAGTCACCTAAGTTGAATATAAGATAGCGAAACCATTAGACAAATCAGGGTGCCGCTTTAATATTATTATAATTGTTTGGTGTTCCAACTAAATGGATTCGAATCGCCTTATCCTCTGAAGAAAATTTAAGATAGATATCGAGATTGACTAAATTTGTATTGGACAGAAATCTTTTAAGAGTAACTTTTATTACTGACTTTTAAAAAATTGTGGAACTGGGTGTGTTAGCAGAAGTTTCACATTGGTTGTGCAAGATTTATTTACAAATAAAAACAAACGGCAGTACGCGGGTGAAAAAAGTAATTATTTAAGCACATCAAACTCATCTTCTTCAAATGCTTTGCGTGCACGTCGGAGCTCTTCACTGAGCAAGAGCAGCTCTTTCACTCGAGAAAATTTCTTAGGATCACGTCGAACGAGATAAGTAACATCTTCAACAGAGATTTTTCCTGGTTTACCAATTTTTAATGCTTTTTTAGCCTAAATTTATTAGAAAGAGTGTTTTTCAAAAAGGAGAAACTATCGTGTGATCATCCTAGAAATTATTGCGAAAAATAAGATTTCCGAAATGCCAGTGTACAAATCTATCAGACAGTAAGGATCGTAAAATCGGCGCGAAAACCCGTCGATGTCGATGCCATCAGTGTATCTACGGAGTTGACATTGCTCAAAAGAGAATTAAACTGATATATATAGATTTCAATGAATCCTTAGCTTATACTGTGCAGCATCATGCAAACGTTTTCTGCTAATCACAAAAACCATCGTAAGTAAAAGATACGACCATTTGAGATTTAACTGATTTCATTCGTAAATATTTGCAAAGAACAACTCCACCTGTAGCTCTTCTACTACCGGTGCCAAGCCCGGGTAAAGATGTGGGGCTTGGCAACCCCATCCCGTAGACAAAAATCTTGCCAAAAAGAACGCCAATCACATTCTATCATTTAAACTCTTTCCTGGGAGTTGAAGGGAAAATTGTGACACCTCATGAAGAAAGCCGAGATTCTTCGGAAGTCACGAGGCCGGTGCCCCTTCTATTATTAGTATTGGTACAGGAGTGCGCCAAGTATATATGCGCCCCTTCTAACAACCAGAGCAACAATTATTATAGGTACATAGAATGTCCGGATAATGTGAGAGACTGGAAAGACCAGTCAAATTGCAACGGAAATGAAACTTGGCGGTTCTCGGAATCAGCGAAACCCAATGTAGACTAGATACGGGAGAGATGTTCCTATACTCCGGTTACGAAGAGGGAAATGCTTCATATACATTATGGGAATTTATTCGACACTATAGTTTGAAGTGTGATCACAACCAACTACAACTAAAGTCCTAGGTTGTTGCAAGCTCGACGATCACTACAAAAATTTAGAATGCCTGAGAATATATCTGTGGCTGTAAATAAACCATCAAAATCAATAGCTCTGTACGTCTTCAACATTTGATGCTGGCCACTTAGTCTTACTGGACTTACCTAGCTGAAGGCGCTCGGTCACTCATCCGCATCAGATCAAGAATGGGGACGCTGTGCTCTACCTTCGTACAACCGCTAGATAGTTTGGATCAGTCACTTCTCGATATATTGATAACCTATCAAATATATTTTCGAACTTCTTTGCTTCTGACTTCTTATTTCATCATGTGGGCACGTTTCAACCATAGGTGTTACTGGATAACGTGTTGCCAAACTCCAAATACATGTGATACCTTCATATCTGAATTTTTAGGATTTTATTGCATTCACTGGCAATGTCAGGAAACCTTCGTTTATCGTCTTATTTAATAACAGGGAGCTTCACTGGCTAACTCCTCTTGTAGTTCTTCTAGAGTTACTGCCGTCCCCAAGCCCGGACAAAGGAGGAGGGTTGGGCATGACCCGATCCCGTAGAAAACTAACTCGCTAAAACAACTCCAACCAGAAAAAATAATTCAAACCATTAAAACCCTGCCCTGGGATTGACGAAGTCTTCATTTAGAAGAGTTATGGCACCTCATGGTGAAAGCCGAATCCTTCGGATACCACAAGGCTGATGCTCCTTCGGAAAACCAGATCAACTATTAATTTAGGTACATGAAATGCCCGTACAATATGAGAGACCGGTAGAGTCTTCCGAATTATTGAAGAGATACAACCTGTAGGTGATTGGAATCCGTGAAACACGTTGGAACCAGGTTCGACAACAAAGACTAGCTCCAAAGGAGCTTATACTCCGGTCACGAAATAGCTACGGTTCTCGGAATTAGTGTAACCCATTGGACCCAATGTAGGAGAGATGCCGCTTCACACACTCAGGGAGTTGTTCTGATACTGTCCAAAGAAGCACGTAATGTACTTATAGGATGAGAATCTCACGGACCCAGAATCATCGAACCATAATTCAAAACAAAGAAGGAGGGTATCACAATGGATATAACCCAATGTTATGCACACACTAATGATAGCAACGACAACGATGATGATCAATTCTATGAGAGGCTGCAATCAATCACAGCGAAGTGCCCAAGAAGGGAACTCACTATTCTGATGGGAGATCTAAGCACCAAAGTTGCGATAGGTAATACCGGATATGAAAATATCATGGGAAGACATGGACTGACAGGGAGAAACGAACGAAAATGGGGCGAGTTTGGTAAACCTATGTACATTCAACAATTCGGCAATAAGAGGCACAATATTACCAAGTAGACACATACACAAAGCTACATGGGTCTCACCGTGGAGTACCAAATCGGTCACATTTGCATCAATAAAATATTCCGAAGATCCATGGAGGATGTGAGATTCAAGAGAGGAGATGATATATCTTCAGATCACCACCCGGTGGTTGTTAAGATGTGAATGAAGCTAACAAACACTAGACAACCGGAGAAACAGCAGTACAAAGGTTCAATACAGCCCTCCTTCCTGAAACCAACAAACTCAGCGAATTCAAGGTAACTCTCAACGACACGCTACAAGCCTTACAGGATCTACTGAAAGGAGAAACTTTTATGGCGGACAACAAGGAAGGAATCAAAGAAGCACTAACTCCAACGTGTCAAAAGGTTCTGAGTCGCAAGGAGCATCATCATAGAGAATGGATCTTTATCAAAACCCTAGACAAGAACAAGAAGACCAATTGAAAGCAGCCGAACATCACACAGAGAAAGTCAAGGAGCAAGCTGAATACATAGAAACAAACAAGCAAGATCATTAGAGTTGACAAGAGAAATACGTGGAAGAACTAGCAACGGCAGTGGAAAAAGCCGCAAGATAAGGGAATATGAAACAACAATATGACACAACGTAGAAACTATCGGGAAGATATTGTAAAAAAGAGGCCGGTCAAGGACAAACAAGTCAGACCAATCATTAAGATTCAAGAACAAATGGGCAGAGAAATTTGAGGGACTCTTAAATATACAGCAGCACACACAGACCATCCAATAGATGTCATTACATTAACAACCGAAGAAATCAGGATGACTATCGGACACATCAAGAGTGGTAAAGCAGCAGGACCTGACAACATACCAGCTGAAGCACTGAAGTCAGATATAGGAGTAACTGCAAGCATGCTCCACGTTACACTCAAGAAGATTTGGGGGGAGAAACAAATGCCAACGAACTGGAAAGAAGAACACCTCATCAAGATACCAAAAAAGTAGATCCGAGCAAATGTGAGAACTACGAAGGCATCATACTACTGTCGGTACAAGGGAAAGTTTTCAACGGAGTGTTGCTAAATCGGATGAAAGATGCAGTAGATGCCTAACTTCGAGATCAACAGGCTGGATTCCGTAGGGATCGGTCGTGCACATGAATAATTATGGTGCGCTATGATATTAATACTGCTCTAATAATAGACCCAATCCTATAATTGTAGATTTGTCATGACATAACTGTATAGTCTATAAGATCTTACGTGGAAGTCACATCATCGTCTACCGCAACTCACTACATCGTAACAATTACCAATACATGATAGATAACAAACTTAGGCTGGAGATATAACAATATATTTAATATGAATAAAAGATATAAGGCAACATTCAGCAGGGACCACGCTTGCATAGCCGAGCCATGCCACACGATCAACTCCAATTAATTCAATTCATTCTTCCCGCCTTCTCAATCGTTGGATTTTTCTCCGTGTTGAATGCTGAATGTCTATTTCCCACATTGTCTCATATTAAAGCCCAATGCCACTACACACCAAACTGCGATACTACGGATAATCTTTGAACAACCAATTGAATGGGACTCGTCACTGTACATCAACTTCATCAACTATGAAAAAGCATTTGACAGTGTGGTGTCAAAACATTATGGAAAGTTCTTCGACACTATGTAGTTCCTGAGAAGATTGTCAATATTATCCGGAACTCATACGACCGACTACAGTGCAAAGTCGTGCATGGAGGACAGCTAACAGAAGCATTCCAAGTAAGGGCCGGAGTCAGACAAGGCTGTCTACTCTCCCCCTTCCTCTTTCTTCTGGTGGTCGACTAGATTATGAAGACCTCAACATCTGAAGGAAAACACGGAATACGATGGACAGCTCGGAACCAATTAGACGATTTGAACTTCGCAGATGACCTAGCCCTCCTATCTAATACACACGAAGAAATGCAGATGACGACAAATAGTATAGCAGCAGCATCTGCATCAGGAGGCCTCAACATACACGAAGGAAAATGCAAGACCCTCAAATACAACACGGATAAAACCAACCCAATCACACTTGAGGAAGCAACTCTGGGAGATTTGCAATCCTTCACGTACCGGGGAAGCATCATTGATGATAAAAGAAGATCGGATGCAAACATAAAGGGTAGGATTGCCAGGGAAGAGCCACATTCCTACAATTGAAGAATGTATGGAACTCAAGACAACTTTCAAGCAATATCAAAGTGAGAATCTTCAATACGAACGTCAAGACAGTTTTACTATACATAGCTGAAACTTGGAGAACTGCTGCATCCATTATCAAAAAAGTACAAGTATTCATAATTAGTTATCTACGCAAGATACTCAACATCCATTGGCCGGATACCATCAGCAACAGCCTGCTGTGGGAGAGAACAAACCAGCTTCCAGCTAAAGAGGAAATTAGGAAAATACGTTGGAAGTGGATAGGATATGCACTACGGAAATCACCAAACTGCATCACGAGGCAAGCCTTTACTTGGAATCCTGAAGGTAAGCAGAAAAGTGGAAGACCAAAGAACACATTACATCGGGAAATGGAAGGAGATATGAAAAGGATGGATGACAACTGGGAAGGTTTGCCCAGGACAGGGTTGGATGGCAAGTGCTGGTGGGCGGTCTATGCTCCTCCACGAGGAGTAACAGGCGTAAGTAAGTAATTTACAAAATCAAATAATAATAGTAACGGAAAAGAGTCCAACCATATCGAGATTGAGACAGCTACTCTAAAATAGAATTTAACCGAGATTACGCATTGTCACTGACCGACTGAAGTTAGAGAAACACATTACTGGATGCTAACTCAGTGTTCAGAAAGTTAAGAGCTCTCTGAGTGTTAAGAGTTTGGATCGGGGATGGATACTGTTGAAAAGCACCGTGCTTGAACAAAACTGTTGTCCAGTGCTTCCTAGTTTTGAATAGTTGTCTAACTAAGATCAGTTAGAAATGTAAACTACAAATTTATGTATTTAAATGCACATTAGAAGATAATCAGCAAAAAAGTACTAGGATCTATAACATTTAAACCTAATCTTATAATAATAACATTCGTAAAATGGAATTACAAAAACTCAAAATTGAGTTATGTATATTATTTATCATTAGGAGTTTTGTTTTACCCTGAAATGGGACATTCAATGTCGCTTACCATTTCTATAATATGTCGAACTGCTATATCTTCAACTAAGGAAACAGTTTCAGGTAATGGATTTTCATCATCTCCAAAAGCATACAACATTGAACGTACTAAAACAGAAATAAATTAAAGTAGTAATAACAGAAAAATATATGTTACTTTCACGAGAAAACATTCGCTTCTTTCCACGATCATAAGTTGAATCTTGTTCTTCTTCATCCTCTAGCAGCTAAAAAACATTAAGATACGGTTTTAATATTCGATAATACTAGAATAAATATAAATTCTGTGGCCAAACTTTCACCTTGTTCTATGACACATTAGGGTTAAATTATTTTATTTGTGTTCTTAACTTTCCATACGATTACATAAAAAGGTGAATAAGAAATTATTAGTACAATTTCCATATAGACGTCCAAATTTAGTAAATGGACTTAAAAGTAGAATACTTGAAACCGGTGTTTTGTTACCATGATTTATATACAACCAGATGATCATTGTAAACGCCTTGAAAACAAATCCATTTCAATCACAGCTAGGTAAAATTCAGTGCTTTTGAAGTCTTATCATATGTATATGTAACCTACTGGTACAGGGGATTGTTCACTAATTAGAAAATCATTGAGATCGAATTATTCCACAGTTCGATTTCGTCTTGAGTAGTTAAATAATACGAACCAAAAGTACTATATTTTTTCTTAGATAAAATTTTTTTGAAAGATGAACGCATGTTAAGCACATCAATTGTACAGAAAGATAGCACAACTCACACTTGAAGTAAACTCAAGGTCACTCATTTAGCCTAAAAAATAAGAAAACATAAAAGCACGGAATACAATCAAAATCAAATTTGATAAACTACTTCAACAAAATCCATCTGATATAGAGAAAAACGCCTGCAGCTTCGAGTAGTAAACTTTTGAAATAACGTTTTGAGGGTAGGTTGTAGGAAATACTGTTTGTAAACTGATACAATATTGCATTTGTAAGAACAAGAAAATTTTGACAATAAGTAATTCATTTTAACAATTACTTTTCCATTACACTGGGTATGGCCGAAACGCTAACATTTTACCTGAATTAAATATACAATTGAAAATAGCTAAAAGCTTACAAACAAGTGCTAGACAAATGTAAAATAAAATCACTCGATAGAAAAACTAGTTTAACTATCCACCACAGCATAGAGAGGAGCTGAACGCTAAAACACAAATAAAAATAACCCACACGACATCGATTTCTTCTAAAAAGTTTATTACAAAGGGAATTATTTAACTAATCTATTATAATTTCACTTTTAGGATTAATTACGCGTAACAGTATTAATGTCATATTTAAATTTTCTAGAAACTCATTCACTGGAAAAAAGCAATATGAAATACGCTACTTCATAGATCAACGAATATAATAATAATATAAATGTTATTTGTGCATGCTACAAGTCGGTGATAGAAATAATAAGGCTCGAAACTTTTGAAGTATCATTTTAACAAGGTACCCTTGCCGATTACAGCAGTTAGGCTCTGTGAGACATCTCTGTATCATCCTGTTGATATTTACATTACCATTTGTTATTCAGACGAATGTTACAAGTCTAAATAAATAGGATTCGAAGTAGCATCGTCAATATATTTCATCTTGTTATGACTAAGTTAACCAAATCTACTATCAGGTATATTGAACCAAGTTACACCAACTCAAGGCTTGGATTAGTAAAATTCTGATCGGCGTACTACAAAAGCCGGCAGTTGAAAAGTAAAGAAAGTAATGGCTGATATTAGTATTAATTAACAAAGATTATATATAATCTGAAACTATAAGAAACGAAATGCCATTTCACTAAGGACATTGTTTTAAAATTTGAGGAAAAAAGACAGAAGGACGCGGTAATATTTTATTTTGAATTATATTTTACACAAACAGAGCTACATTTGAATTAAAAAAAGATGACGTAAGAATCACAGTTCAGCTACTAAAAAGTGCGAGATAAAATATGTGTGAAGTGCGAAGTGTACACACAGAGATAGGAACATATAAACCAATATTAAACAGATTGGGTTCGGATTATCACATAGCTGCATAATAATACGTAATTACTTTCGTATAGAATACACATACACAATGAATAATTATTAAGACACTACCATAAATTAACTGAGATTTGAACCAATTATAAACCACACGTCATGGTGATAGCATCATAAAAATTTGAATATTTGCAGACACAGTCATATACAAGAAAGCAGTCAGACATCAAATAATAAAATAATGAAACATACAATTGAAGAGTAGCATTATAAAAGCAATCATTTTTAATAATCTCACTACTAATCCAACAAGTTCGTAGACCACATTTCTATATTATTATGATTGAGAAAAAAGATTAATAATAATAATAGCAACAATAATGGCTATAAGAGTGAATAAAAAAATTCTAAATAACCGGTAACTTGTTTACAAACTGACGATCTTAAAACACTATCATAATTATTTATGTTAATGACAAAACCAATGGGTCAAGAAATCCATTTGTTAAGTCTACGGTAATTAACAGACGTCTAATAAAACAAATTGAATGTAAAACAATAAAGGCACTTAGTTATTTGAATAAAGCATTCAACAACAGTAACGAATACGAATGAAAGTGAACACGAAAAAGCATGTTCCAAAAAGTTAGCAAAGGTAAACAAAACAAGAGACTGATACAAATGTATTAAGGAAGGTAATTACATTGACTCCAAAATACATTCATGACTTCAGATACCTGAAACAAATAAGTATTATAAACACTGATATATATATAGAAGCCCATAAAAATCGTAATCTGCCACAATAACCAATATACACAAGAATTAAAGCAAAATCCTAAATAAATATGGTTACATAACAATCGAAATAAACTGTAAGATTAAAATGAAATAATCTTATGGTATATCGGTAAGAACACTGAACTTTTTAACAATAAACCTTCAACCGGAGTTTATATTAAATTTTATTTCAATATTTGTATTTCAAATAATATTTGCTTTTTAACACCTTTGATTTCTCGATTACGAACTGCGCCAAAGTTGTAATATTAAGGTAAAATGGATCAAGATTTATAAACTATGCTGACTATTCTTACTATGATAATGTTTTTCTCGTAAGCAGTTGATAATACGAGGCGTTGATAACGTGAACGCAGCTTTCAAGTACTCCATGAAATTCATCAACTGACAAACTCATAAATAACAGAATTTCAAAATACTTTTCGGACAATATCATTTATTTACTACTAAAATCCTGAACAAATTTCTGATGTCTATATTCAACAATAAGTGCTGAAGTTTTAGAACACAAAAGTGAGTTTAACGTCGAGTCCCAACAGTCAGTCTTATTATTCAGCTCGTTTATTTGTATTGCTTAATGGAGTAAACTCAAGGTTTAGAACATAACTATTCTTTAATTGGGATCTTACGTATACTAGCATATAACCATGTAGATTTTATAGTATGAAATATCGTTTTACACAAAAACTTCATACTTGGCTGCCCAGTCTGTTCTGGAACTCGGATTTGAATGAAAAGGACCAGGTGCTCTCGCTGAAGGACGGAAATAACCGATTCCATTTCCAGATAAAAATCCGACCCCAGATACTTCTATCTGACTGCGAAAATGACAAACATTTTGACCTTGACTGTTATCTATGACTGAATCAGGGATTTTTGCCAAATTACCTGGATGGAAAAAGATGATGCACATAACCAGATTTATAATTGAAATGCTTACACAATAGTCACTATCATAGGAGCGAAATGCTGCATGTAAGAGGGCAGAATTAAACCTTTTGCATAGATTTACCTAATAAACTCTGCACAAACAGATAACATCAGTAAATCTGAATTTTGACGTGAATATCCACTCGATTCATTCGTCTGTCTTCGATTAGTGATGTGTGGGAGAGAATGATAATGATTGGTTGTTTGCAGAGTCAGACTCGTAGATAGTCGGCCAGGTGTTAGATGAGTTATATATTCCCCTATCCTTATTATTATTATTATTATTATTATTCACTCATTATTGATTGTTCATTGTTGTTGAATTGTGTCGGGTTTTTGATGTGGAAATATATTTACGTCGTGGTCAGGCTAATCACATGTTCTTGGTCTAAGTTGTGTTGAAGTCCTGTAGAATAGACACTGGGAGGGAATCTACTGTAGATATTCGTCTAAGATAAATTAACGTCCCTTACGTGTAAAAGTGGAAACCCAACCGTTATAACATTAGACGAAGTAAAACCGAGCGTTATAACAATTAGTTAAAAGACTTAGATACTGCCCATCATTTACTAGGGTTTTCCGATTATTTATCTAAGAAAGATGACAATTCGCTTTCATATACACTAGCTGTTCGGGAAACTAACATGACATGAGTACTGGATATGTAATAAAAAGGTGAATTTGAATAAGTGGTTTTGAATTCGTTACGTTGAAGAGTTAAACAGAAATAAGAGCGAAATCCTTTTGTAGTACAAGCAGACTGAGGTCAACTTGGGAGGAGAAAGGAAAAGAACATGGAGGATAAACAATAGTATGTGAGCACACAAAATAGTAACGTTTTTAAATTTGTGTAAAGCGAGCAAATTCACTTCGTTTGAGACAACCTTTCTGCTCTAAACTTAAGGACTTAAACCACAGAAAATCGAAACATAGGATATATAATACCTGGATAAAGGTCTCAGTGTTATAATCATTTGTGATAGTTCAGTGAGGAGTTCCCAGAAATAAAAACATGTTTGTCAGGAATTTAATTCTGTGGATTTGCTAGTAACATGGACAAGTATAGAGAAAATTACTTACGGTAGATGTATGGTTCAATGAAATCCAAATAACAACATTTAACAAGAAAAATAACTCGAACTTACCCTCCATATAACGAATTATTAAAATTACACTAAATGATTTCGTTGTAGTTTGTGTATTCCTATTTCAATTATTCGTTGATAAATAGTGTTTAAAACAAGTGAAACGTATAATACGAAATTTTACAGGATGACGATGATTAACTGCATATTTCCACAATCAGAGTGCATGCAGTAGAAAATGATTAAGCAAGGAATGATAAAGACAAATACTGTCACTTGTGTGAACAAACTGTTTTATTATGATTAAAATCAAATTATCTAACAAGTAGAATTTAACAATTCAACTGGACAAACATTTTAAGTTACCTTTCTTTGTATCACGTAACGTCTTACAAGCACTTTTAGACAGTGATTTAGGATCTATTTGTGTACTGTTGTTAGTTATGGACCACGGAAATAATACAGTATCGCTTAAATGATGAATTTTATTTTGCATCATGGTTAGAGCATTACTAACATTGGTTGAGTTAGATAAATTACCAACAGATTTGGGTGTATCGCCTAAAAGAACATGATGAAAAACTTATAAGCAACCATTACTGTGTATCACAAAAAGATAACTAAACAACCATAGGAAAAAATAAGTGTAACTTTAGAAATAAAGTCAGTCAGCTACAACGTAGGACCAGGCACATTTATGCATCAGTCCAAGTTGTCATACCTCATTAACACAACAAGATGAACACCGGATTCATAAAAGTAGTTAATTCAATGGTGATAACATATAAAAGAAAGATTGCAATAAGGATATAGTACATGAAGAAAGAATTAGTTCGTAGAAAGAAAGATATGAAGCGATTTCAATTTCCTAGTTGAAAGGAAGAAAGAGTGTATGTCAACAAGAGTCTCCGACCACTGTCTACGATAGTCACGCGGACCCCAACCAAGTAGTCT